GACCCGTCCCACACCATCACCAGCTATCCTCAGTCCTTTAGTGCTTGTCAGCAGATTCAAACCAGCATCGAGAACATGCTAAACGTTAGAGCCCACCTGTTTAAGATCATGGCGTTATCATTGCTATTGTAAGCATGATAAATGCTGACATTCCCCTCTAGCGCCATGCACAAACTTTCCCAAAAGCCTCGCAGCACTGCGAGCAAGTCTCATTTTGTTCACTATCTCAAAGTGGTCTCTAAGAGTCATTTAGGATCTTTGAAAACCAGCAGTTTGTAAGTAAGTAACTAAGGAGAGGAGAATAGATGAGACAAGGGAAGGTGCATGACGTCAAAGGGCATTTGGTGGCATAGATAGCCTTATCTATAACCTGTATCCCATGGTTACCATATGCTGAACGCAGCGGGGAACCTGGGCCGGAGAAAGCAGGGTGACGCACTAGAGACGCGCACACTGCAGGACAGCTGGCACCCTTCACAAATGCTCGCAAACGCACCTACTCCCGCACCGTCGATATTCCACCCTACCTAAATAGAGCTGGACTCACATCGCGCTCGCATGCAGGGTGGTGTTTCTTTTTTTTGAGTTAGTTTGAACACAGAAGGCTAATATCTGCAAAATCTCCAACGTGGGAAAGGTAACACACCTCTTTCCCCAAGAGATCAGCCTGACGGAGATACAAAGAGGGAGACTGAGAAAGAGGGAGAGATATCCAGAGAGAGATATAAAGGTACAGTGAACAAAAAAAGACAAAGTCCGTATGTTACTGATTCAAAGACAGAGAGAAGAGAAAAGAGGAAATAGGATGAAGAAAAAGCGGCACATTATCTCTATGTGGAGTCTTGGGAAGAACAGCCTATTTGTAGAGTGATACCTATCAGCTCCCTGGCTGTCTCTGGAGATAATACTGCACTGTGGTTTGCTTTACCAGATAAAACCTCTGTCTCTAATAGACTAAGCCAGAGAGTGGCAAGGTGAAAAGGAAAGAGGCAGAAACAAGTAGCCGATATACCTAATCACTTTGTTTTAAAAATGCATGTGACAGCATAATGTACATATTTAAACTTATTCCGGACTGAGGTAGCATATAATGCAGACAAACAATGGATGCATACACAAGATGCTGCAGAAGTTCAAGGGGTATCATGTAAAGAGTGTTTCAATATGTGTGTAGAGCAAACAAGAAAGCATCAGAATGCATAAAATATACACGTATGCACTGGTACGTGCCGTGTATTCAGTAAGCGGTGTAGGTTTCTTAAAATGTTTTACCCAACTCCAACCAATGCGAATAAAATGATCAAACCAAAGACGCATCCCGTTTTCCATACGGAAAGTCATTTTGATATGATATTCTCTGCATGAACTTGAAAGTTGGGTGCCACTTTGGGATTTAGTCATCTCCCAGAAGACCCCCGCCTCCCATTGATGATTCATCCCACTCTGTGTGTGCCTTCCTGTCCGTCTCTCAGGCTGCCGAGCGGACTCCTGGGGCCCCCGATTGAATAACTTATGATTAATATCAACACAGCTGCTGCCACAGTGACTGAGTTACCAGACACCATTGATCTAGACCTTGAGATGTCACAGAATCAAGGCGCAGATTGACCCGGAGGCAAGGTTTTGTGCGACTAAATTTATTGGAGCCTGACAACCGTTTTTCTGTGAGCTTTTGGTAGAATTAATGCACTGAATATAACATTTCATTCTCAGGTTTAAGCCTCAAATCAAATCATGTTTATAACCAAGTATTTGACGGAAACTAAAATATAAAAAACAGGATTTTATACGTAATCATATCTGGTTCCTGCCCAGGATGAATAAAATGTCAAATTGTTGGCCGATGAGCAGCTACATTTGAACAGTTGGGGATTAACTGCTCTGCTGCAGGGTGTTTGCAAAGCAGCTCCTCAGCGAAAATAGAACACTTTACTCATACCTCTTTGTGACATATTTTCTAAACCCAGATATTTGCAACAGAGACTCTGGAACCGAGCTCCACACTCGAGGTAACTCATGTGCGAGTTTTGTACAAATTGAAATCAAAAGTTTCCAAATCAATACATGACAGCACTTTATAAGATTGGTTCAATGTAGCTGTGACATGAAAGAAAGTTGCTGCACCATTAAAAGGAAAATGTCTTCAACAACAACAACATGTTTTCTATTTCTTATCTCCAACTCTCTTGATCAAGTATTTTCTGCACTTGTTCATCAGTAAATAAATGTATTCAGGCATTCGCCACATCAGCTATTCCAAATTCCCAAATCTTAGTTGAATGGATGAAACATGAAGACTGAGATGTTGGTTCAGCTTTAATATATGTTTCCGGAAAAAGGGCTAGTTGCCACCTAAATTATATAATTCACTGTCTGTGCAGTGGCTATTTTAGGACATTATGGATCATTATTATAGGTTTTGCCACACAGGTCGGCACATCAAGCTGTAGAAACATCATTGACGTTGAATGACATATTTTCACATTCAGAGGCCCACACTATGGGTTGTTGCTTTTTACAGTAAGTTAGTGTGCTTTCGTTTTTACAATACGTTACTTGTCACTGTGCCAATTAATAACTGTGGATTTCACAGTACGTTTCACACAGTGTATAGTTTTTATACTCTACTCCTTACTCTACTCAATTGCAAATTCTTGACGATAACATGTTACTCGTAGGCTTCTAAATGCTCTGCTATTTTTAGCACAGGTGCTCAATGTTTGGTAATAAAAAAAAGGTAAGGGCGAGTTGGTCTTCTTGTTAAAAACAGCCTCATGCTGTATTTGGAAACAAGATTGATGAGAGTGGTGAGATTGAACCAACACGGTAAAGTTGTGCGCCTGAGAAACAGTCCGAGTCAGGTCATCATTCTTTTGGGTTGTTCACCAAGTATGAACCCATTCACTCGACTGGATCAAAAGAAGCCATCTGAGGAATGAGGAAATCTTGAACTAAAGCTATAACGGGATCATGCTCCAAATAATAAGTTGAAGAAAACCATAGAAAGTAGCTAATTTTACCAGACTTAATGACCTTGCTGCATGGCTCATCTCGCACAGAAGTATTTCTACAATGAGAGTTAAGTCAGTCACTCTGGCAGTCTGGAGGTTTATTGAACACTTACTTTGAATGGGACAGCTGATTTATGAGCATCGCGCTCTATTGTGTTCTCTGCATATAAATTGCTCGCTACCTCCCTGAGTTTCACTTTCTGTAGGAAACTTGATGACAGGCGCGATGGTGTCAGTCATCTTTCCTTTTTAAAGTTTGTGAATGGAGATTAACGCACTCTCTCTGTTACATTTAACCGCCTGGTAGCTTTTAACGGAAGATACGATGAAATGTGAGACTTATCTTGAAGGTAAACTAAGTGCGAGGGTCGAATGGTAGGTCAAGTTACAGAATGAAATGCTGATACGGGAACGATCGTTTTAAAGGTTTTGCTATTATCCCACAAACACACACACACACACACACACTCACACATTCCCCTCTGCCTGGTAATCCAAAATGTAACGTTTGGAAATATGCACTCTCACACAAGCCGAGTCTGAGACGTCTGCATAGAGGGAATAAAGTGCTTGGAAAGAGGTTAAATGACATCACAAGGACACATTATTAAATTACGAAAGACATTTTTAACTAAGTTTGAAACTCAATGCTCTGTAATGGGCATCCTGCGGCCTATGAAAGCCTTGCCATGGAATAATCAGTCTCTCTCATTGTCCCGTAACACACGCATACGGGAATATTGATAGGTCACCAGTCACATTCTGCATGAAACCATCAGCCGACTGTGGCGGCCTGTGAGTAGTCTGTCTACTTGGTTCGAATTTCAAACACTGGCCAGCCAGAGTTTTAGTTGACTTGACTTTGCTATTTGGAATGCTGCCCATCTCTACCTGTTCTCCCGTGCTCCTTATTTTTTCATATCCTCAGGCTGCAAATCATATCATCATATTTTCTTTGCAAAATGCGCCTAAACTTTGGCAATAGCTTTTTGATTACAAGGAGTTCTTCACACGCAGACACACACACACACACACACACATACTATGGCTTTTATGTTAACCTCAACAACCCTAAAAGAAAAAACATTTTCTGTGGATCATTAGCCGCATGTATTGTGTGCATCTCACGGCGTTCCTAACCAGGTCGAGTAATCTGCCACAAAGTTTGTGTGCAAGTGTAAAGGTGTGTGTGTGTGTGTGCATGTGTGTGCGTGTGCAGTTTTCCTTTAGTCTGTCTTCTCGTTTCTGTCTCTCCGTCCGTTCAGCTGACCTGCAGATGAAAGCAAACTTCTTACACTTCATCTCCTTTTGATGCCTCTGCAGGCCCGGTTATCTCAGAATGCTGTGTCCGTGTGCCCGTGTTTACTGGGTACGCCTGTAGTTGCGTCAGCATCAGCGCACATCATGTGCATAGCAACAGAAAATTGTCAATCGCTGTGTATTTTCTGCTTGCTGCAGAAGTTTCTTCATAAAAACATCAATGTATTCACAATTAATCTTCAGCTCTGAGTCCTTGCGTTCCTGCTCGGTTTCACCTTTACTCATCCCACTCGCTCACTCACACGCACACTCGCGTCTATCCTTCACTCCCTGCCTACAAAAAATCTGAATAGGGTGACAGCATAATACTCCCATGCTGTTGTAGTACTTGATTAAATACAGCTACAAGGCTGAAATGGGTGCTGTGTTTGCAACTAAGGATGTGGGAATGGTGTGTGTGTGTGTGTGTGTGTGTGTGTGTGAGAGAGAGATAAAGAGTAAAAAAGAGAAAGCATGCTAAGGACAGACAGACAGAGAGAGAGAGAGAGAGAGAGAGAGGGAATATTTCCAAGAAATCCCAACAGGGTCAGTGTTACTGTGGTGCCATCTTCTGGCAGGGAAGCACAACAGCTTTGAATAAGAACAGCAAGCAGGCGAACTGGCTGAGAAGATGCACGTTTACATATAGAACATTCAAACAGGGCATCAAAGAATGCTAGACATAAAACATTGATTAAAAAACATGTATTATAGTAACAGACATCATTAAATATTTAAAATAACTGCAGGACTTGGGTTTTACATTTAGCATAGTTGATAAGTAACCAAACATGTATATTGAATGTACATTTAAACAGAGAAGAGAAGACAGTATTGTACAATCTGTAGAATATAGCAGCTTCTTTCAGTGCACATACATACAAACAGAAATGTTTTCTCATTTTTACACAAATTCAGTTGAGTGTGGGGGGGGAGATGATAATTCATTCAGCAGAGGCTTAACTACACACACACACACACACACACACACAACCCTTCTGCAGTTTTCTTTTTGCATACTGACACTGCTGCAGAGAAACTACAACACAGACACAAGCGCAATGAATTAATACATACGTTTGAGGATTTATTTATTTTTTGTTAGAAATAACGGTATGTACACATTGAGTGTGTGAATCCTATGAAGCTGACCAGCTGTAAAATCATCTAATCTACACAGCATGTAAAAAAGCACATTCATATATTGACCTTCAATGGCATGGTGACGAAAGTAAATTACTGATAATGGACTTTTTGGTGTTTTCCCGCACAGTATATAACTCATCTGTGTAATACACCATTAACTTATCTTGTTTTAGATCTATAAGACCCAAATTATCTTCAGAGTGTCACAAATCCACTCATTAATATAATATGTACAGTAAGGACCACTTTATCCAAGCCCCCTGGAGATGCCTGAAGCTTGACAAGGATGCCCTTCAATTTGCCCACTGAACAGTCTTCTAAGTGGCCCGTTGATGTGCTCCTCAAAGACTGAACTACTGCATTTCGGTGTTAAAACATTCAAGTAAAACCAGGAATCAAGAGTATTCACATACACATATGCCACTCTGTTGGATTTGCTACCGAAAGAGAAGCATAAAAAATTCATGAAACCACATTTCTTGCCTGCTTTGCTCCCAACTCAAGGTTTATGTCGTGTTTGAATCACAGTGTTTCCTCAACCATTCATCTATTAAGGGTGCTGTGATCAGATTTCTATCGCTCTATGCAGACATGGACAGCATGTAAAAAAAGCAGGTGTCCCGAGTGCACGGCCGAAATGACTTGGAATTAGAGGGTCTGGGTTTGGTTCTGTTTAAATTGCTAGACGATGTCAGGGTTGGGGTAATATTTGAAGACCTTGTAGATCCACTGGGTGTAGAAGGGCACATTGATGAAGATGCCGGGCTGGTTGGCCCGAGCACAGCCTCTGCCATGAACGCTCACTCCCACAATCACCCGTATCTCGCCATCCTGGCACACGAGAGGGCCGCCGTAATCCCTCTGCAAGACAAAGAGATGGCATATTTTTCTCTGCGTCGCTGGTTGTGCTATCGTGGTTGGATTTATGACAACGGGCGCATGGAAACAAAATGCTTTGTTAAGCCCTTAATGGGGGACGCCAACACTTGTCTTTGTGAACATGGAAAGTTGTCCTCCGAAGCAAGGAACCACAAAGGCGAGGCTTTGCTATCTGATGAAATTCAGTGAAACAGCCTCCAGCTGCCGTAGTTACAACAGCCTGAAAAATAAGCCTATGGATTCAAAGAACATTTGTTTGAGATTTGGATCCAACAGACAATGAATTCCACTGGGTACGATTGCTTTATCTGAAAGTATAAAACTCTTCTCTTTTATTTACCAACAAGGACCGAGCTTCTGATTCCTAAAACTATTTGGCCTGATGTTTAAATGCTAAAACAGCATCACAGGGAAAATAAATGCCGCTAGGTAACAGTTTACCTCACACACTCCCTCATTCCTTTTGCCTCCTGCACAGATCTTGGTGTTGGTGATGTGGAGGTTGCCTCTGTGCATCTCTCTGCACCTCACATTACTGACGATGGGCAGGTCGACCGCCTTCAGTTGGTCATCATGTCCAGTGTCTGAAAGGGATTGGGTTTGTCTTTATTGCCTGATTGTTTTTTGCATATGCAATGCGAATGCCACCAGGTTTTTAGGCTTCATTCCGATAGAAAATACATATATTTGAGTGTCCTATTTTTTAGAAAGCAGGGAGTGAAGTCTGAATTGTTTGTACAGAGATCATTGTGCATTTGAACTATCAAAAATATCAATCTCCGTGGTATATCAAGACAGCCAACAATCAGTACTGACGCAGAGATGAGAAATCCTAAACTTCACGCTGACCAATTATTTGACTTGGGGCTGTTTTTCAATATATTTTTCCACCTTCAGAATAGTACAGGACTGTTGCAGGAGAACACAAATGTAATATACTTCAGACCTCGGGAGTGGAACAGCCGTAGTGATTGTAGAATATATTATACCAGTACCTTTTGTCTCTCCCCATCCATACATTTTACATATTGTTCCTTCTGGGATGGAGCATCCTGCCACAGGTAACTGAAGTGTGTGCACATTGTCTGCAGGGAGGGCAGGCCTGGATAACGGACACGGGAAGTGCATCGCTCAACATCACGCACAAATGTAAAGTATGTCAATAAATCTTTGAGATTATTTTCCAAGGTACTCACTTAGACAGCCTTATGAGGGCTAAACTTGAGCCCTCAGGACCACATATCACATCGGCTATGTTCACTTCCTGTCTCTTGGACCAGTCGGGAGCGCCTTCTCCGATATCCAAGACTCCCAACCACACCCGATACTCACTGAGGTCTGGCACACTGCAGAGTTGATAATGGACAAAATATTCCACGTACATTAGTCTCTTAGACTGGCCAAGAAAGACAACGGAAACTAACTAATAATCCATAAGGTCTAAATGATTGAAAACCAGAATATTTAAACTTAAATCTCGTACACATGCACTGACAGATTAAGGTTCAAGCAAAAAGGAAATAGACAGTGGATATTTTTGTTACCATGAGGAGAAGCATTGTCTGTCAGTGAGTACCCACTCCTCTCGTATTAGTGAACCTCCACACCAGTGCTGCGACCTGGAAAGAGGAAAGAACACAAACAACACATCAAGGAAAGCTGTGCAACACCATATGCAAACAAATACCGTCAATGGTAAAAAGAAAATGCATTGTTATACAAGTATGTCCAATTTGAGGAGAGGGACGTAATATAATGCAATGAAAACCAGCAATAATTTGCAGTGAAACTACAATTCTGAAGGGATATTTTGTTGTTTAGAATTTCATGAATTTGCAAATGTGGGCTTTGGTCAAAAAGTCCCTTTTACAACAAGTGTCTTCTTCTAATTAGGTGAGTTATACTTCTCTATGAAGCTACTGTTTGCACCAAGGCTGCTACTGCATCTGAAACAATGAAAATAAATCCACATGTGCTCAAATAGCTGCATGCATGTGAGTCAGGGCAAAGTGGAAAGGCCTCTGGAACAGCACCCTTCACTATAAACAAACATAAAAACTGCTCCTAAATGCAGCAAAATGGGATTAACTGCGGATGCAGTATGTGCCGATCAATATAAATAAAATGGAACTTTAAAAGTTAAATACAATTCCATCGACTTTTGTTATGGTCTGGAAAAGATGTTGTATTGTTCATCATCAGTGGAAAATGTGTAGAAGACCAAATGCACCGTCCTACCCTTTCTGTATGCTGACCATCCAGCTGCCGTCTAATACGCCCACCGGACCTCCTCCCACAATTCTGGTTCTTTTATGGACAAAACACCCCACAGAGGACAGCTCAGCTGGAAAAAACAGAGACACATTTCATTATATTCCTAATGTCATGCATACAATTAAAGACATTCACTGGCACACACATGATGACAAGGAGGCACTGGAGCAACTAATGATCCGCTATAATAATTATTACATATAAAATGCAACCAGTCATTGTGATGAGGCAATTAATTAGGGTTAATTAAATAATGTGTTCAAGTACCTCACAAGTGTTATTTGAACTCTAAATGTCAAGAGGTTGAAGGGTTTATCGTCTGTTCTTGACTTATTATGTGCAGCAAAATGGGTCCAACACATACAGCCCACTAACACACACACACACACACACACACACACACACACACACACACACACACACACACACACAGAAAACCCCTTCACCACGTATACGTTCTATAATAGCTGCATATAAAAGGGACTCCACGGGGGTTCTGAGAGCGCCCCTACTGGCCTTGGAGACTATCAAATACGTATCAGAGGCTGAGCAGCTCGTAAACACGGACACAAAGACACACAGACGAGCAGACGAAGCCACTCACCCGGTGGGATGTTGATCTGCAAACCGCCACCTGCAGAATGTAAAGGAGACAAACAAGGGATAAGGGAGCGTTAACTAATGCCAGAAATGAGATGACCTTGCGGTGGAATGTAGACTTCAGACTGCCTATGAGGGCCCTCGTTAGCTCTGGCTCTTGGTCCGTGTAGGAATAGCTAGAAGGAGCCCATCCCCCGTTTTTCTGATGAGTTGTGAATCCCCTTCTGACCAACACTGACCTGCTAAACAGATCTACACACTCACTTTCTTTTCACTGACCCCGATATGAGATTGTGTGTGACTCACTTGCACACACTCCCTTGTTGCACTCACATGGTTTGATATGACAGTAGTCCCAGGGAACGGCAGAGTTGTTGGTGTAACACCAGGGACCATGCTTGTCTTTATCTGGGTTTCGGCAGTAGCTTCCCTCCAGGCCGCCTATCTGCACGCCCCTCTCGCCACTGGACAAGCACCCAAACACACAAGATCCAATAACTCATCTTTCAACATCATCATTGATCCCAAAAGAACATATTCAAAACAAAAGGACCACTTCCCCCATTATGGAGCAGATAATCTGGCTTTTGATGAAAGTAAAGGGATTTGTGGTGATTTATAACCATTAGTGAAAAACGAACACATTTTGCTAGATAGGATCTGAACAGTCAAACTACACAGCTGTATAAACTCTGTCCCTCTAGACAAGATAAAGAGGTCATTTGCAAAGGAATTATTCACTGAGACAGCTTGCACCCACCTACACTCACACATTGAATACAGACACACCCCTTACATGAGAGTATGCACATAAGCATTTTCCACCAACAGAACTCTTTTCCCACACTGAACCTGTTGACCGATAAGGTGGAGGATTGTAAAACAAACAGATATATAGGAGAAGGATGCCGGGTACCAAACCACAGCGCTCCAATGTGTGTTGTTTTCCAGCAGCTAGCATAACAGCAGGCTCTCCGTGTGACTCCCTCACCCTGACTTCTGACCGCTGGGAAGGAGCCAAGCAGTGGAGCTAATTGGCTTTGAAGGGTTCCGACAAAAGGAGGGGTTTGGGTTCAAAGGTGAGGACTGAAGTGAATATCCCCCTGCCAAGTTATCACTCGGAGTCATTCCTGCAGAGTTAGGTCATATTTGGAGAAACACTTATATGGCCATTAGAAGATGGTGGAGAGGTTTAGTGATGGAACCCGCAGGAGCCATTTTCTCCTGATTTGACCTGCTAACAACGACACTAAGATGTAATAGAGGCCTCTTGCACTAACCACCACGTCTCAGGTTCCCATATGATTCCCAGAAACATGGCCACATTCTTCTGTACGTTAAGGCTGTGATGCACTAGCTTGTATCACAAAGAGCTAAGGAATTACTGAGACACATAAAACGGGAATTGTCTGCCCATTATCACTGATTTCCTTTTGATCCTATTGAGCTTTTAAATAACCTGTATACTGTGTTAGACTCTCTCTCTCGTTGGTTACATGTACTAGAGCCTGGATGACTGTTTTGTCTGGTCGGTTGATTAGGTTAGAAAGAAGCAGGGATCCAGTGGGCTGACCTGTTGTTACGGTCTCTCCAAGGTGCGCAGGGCAGGTTTGATCTCGTCCTTGACTGCTCTCCTTGGTAATTCTCCCCAAAGCCTTCATAGCAGTCTGGATTTGGACCAAAAAAAGACAATTAAAATCAATCCCAATGCAGCCCAATCAGTCAAACATACATACTGTACATCTCTATCCCTAATCTTATCACTTTACCTTCATGCCGTGTTAGTATGTTTGTGGAACATTGTTAAAATCACCACTTAGATCCTTCATTCATGCTGTTTTGTGAGGTCCCATCTGATTGACATTTGGGTTGGAAAAAAAAATTCTGCCACATTTGTACACATTATATACATATATAGCAATTTTTGTAGTAAAATATATAAAAGCTATAACATATATATTTAAGAAATTGTTTAATTATTGTCGCATTATACCATGTTGTTGATAGAAGTGAATAAATAAGTTATATAATAAGTAATGAACAGTTATACTTATCCAACAGATGCAGTACAGAGCCGGTGCGCCTGTGCAGCACCTCATATTTAATTGACGTCACTTTAAAACGATGGTCGTCATTGGAACAAGAATGAACCGGACTGGGAACATAAAGTTCACAGTGATTCCTTAGAAATAGACGGCTCATGAATAGGGTTTTGAAGTCACCCCGCATCTCATTTCATTATGGGAACGTATTCTATCCACCAGAGTAGACCGCAACACAAGGGGATTTTAATCACAATGCAAGGCCGCATACTCTGAAAGATATGCCTCTAAGATCCCGAGGGAGATTTTTTTCTACTCACTGTTAGATCTACATATTTCACTTAAATCTCTTGTTACCCCAGAAAATCCCATCCAGCACTAATCCTCCCACTCAATCTTTCACTGTCCAGTGAGACCTGACAATTCTGAGCTGCTGTCAGAGCTTGTTTATGTGAGACTAGGTGGTCAGTCATTCCCACAGACCTATAGGGCTGCATTGCTCCGCCGGGACAGAGAATACATGGTTACAGGCCAATATTAGTACTCACAAGGTCTCATGTGAACTCGTCTACAAAATATAAAAACATAGACTAATGGGATTCACTGAAAATCATCTCTCTCTTCTTGAGTGTGAAATAAAGCTTTCGAGTCTCTCACCACTGACTGGATTGTTTTGGGTGCCGCACTGCGGGATGTTGGTGCAGAACATGGTTTGGACTCTTGGGTCCGTAGTGAAGCACCACGGGAATTCTCGGCCATCTGGATTCCGACAGTAGTTCTCTCTCAAGTCCCTGGAAGACACGGAGAATAGTCGTCCAGGGATCTGCTTAAAATGCACGTGCGTGCAGGCGGGCGAGCGAGCGGAGGCGCCGTCTTCTGCGAGAGTCCGACTCACTTGCAGGGGTAGGCTTGAGGTGTGAACGTGTGGTTGTGGGGATACTGAGAGTCCCAGCGTTGGCAGATGAGCCCGGTGGGCATCACGTCTACTGTCCCCCGATAGCCCTCTCCTCTGCCCTGGTAACACTCGGTGGTTTCCACCACATTACTTTTTGGAGACGTTTCTGTGAAACAGCAGAACAATATTAAGGGGTGAGTGACTTTGAAAAAGGTATATAGTGCGTGTTTAATTACTTGAATGAACGTGAACGCACTGATAGGACAAATAGCTCAATTAAGGTATTCAGGTAGTTATCCAAGTAGATCTTGTTGAGTTTCAACTCCTGAAAAAACAGCTTTATATTCTGTATTTTCTCGCCATGCAGTTGGATAAAAACCTAATTATTTTTTAAAGGGGGGGATGAAGAACTGTGAGCGACTGTGAAATGCAGAAAGAACTGGAGGCGAACGTGACTGTAAATGATAAAATAACACTATAGTACATGCATTGCACGCTACACATTTTCTTGCTTTCCTCCCAAACAGCCTCCTCAACGGATTTAGAGGACTGACCGTGTAATGAGGCTGATATGGACCGATTGGAAAAGCCAGGCGGACGATGTTATCGGCTCTACTACTCTTTATAGAAGAGCTGCTCATTACGCACAAGCTACACCAGTTCATTAGCCTGAACATTGTGCATGATTGTATCCAACAATGTGCAAAGCTGCAGATCTTCAAGACTCAAAAACAGACATTTTCTGCCCATACAATATGTCTAAAAATAGATTTACTACACTACTTGTGCCAGTAAAGAAAAAAAGCAGGCCTTGACAAAAGAACATTTTGACTCTCTTCTGTGCCTTTTTTGGATTAAGACTAACTGGGTCGTAAACTTGGTCTGTTCTCAACAAACTCCTATACTAGGGAGTCAGAGAGAGGAACATTTTTAGACAAAGGAAATTGAAGAGGGGAACATTGAATTACTGGGTCCACATGGAAGAAGGCCATCTAGTAAACACGGTGCCAGGACTGTTGATGACTTTAGCAGGAAAAACAGACCAATCACAAACCGGGAGAACGAATCGGAGCCCAACAATAACACGAATGCTCGCTCTGTTTTATGTTCTTTAGGACCACAGCGTCTGTCTCAGAGACTCGTCCTTGATTATAGGTCAACAAAGAGCATAATGCACTATAGATTATACATAAGCGTAGACACAAAAAGACGTGACACACACACCTCGCTCCAATAAATCAATCACACTGCTTACGAAAGAGATTTACTGAAAGTGATCTGCTTGTAATATGCGTGACCCTGGTGTTGTGTCTGCATGTGCAGGAGGTTAATGTGGAGGAGTAACTGAGCCCGGTGCAGTACGACCACCATACATAAGAGCTGGCATAGAACAATAAACAGCAGTTCAGTGGCGCTGGGGGGGGGAATAAACATTCTGGCTATTAGAGAAGACATAACAATGTCAAACCAAAGATGGGTCACTGAGTGTTTGAATGTGCGTGTGTGTCTTTTCCATAGTTTCAGCCAATGAAAGTTGGAGGAATGGTAAGATGAAAGATACAGGAAGTTGTAAATGCTGGTGCCGTCAGTCACACTTGATGGTCCCGTACAGAACACAAACACAGCCACCCGCAGATATGCATGTTAAGACTGTAGCTTAACGTGCATGCCATTCAACCACTCACAAAGAAACATTTATGCACGTTTACCACAAACTTTGATGTCGCAGTACTCCCAGGGTGTGTTTGGGTCCGTTGTAAAGCACCAGGGTTTGTGGCGTCCGTTTGGGTTCCTACAGTAGTTGTCATCCAGGCCTTTGTCAGGGTACCTAATGTAAAACATCCATAATTTTAATGCACGGACCAAAGTAAGCTACGAGGTATTAACATTGCATAAAACAACTATCTGACTGTTGCACGAACCCTTTACCCAACTATCTTACCTGCACATACGTTATAGTGGAAGAAAACAGCTATTCTGACCTTTCTTAAAGCCTAGAGGTGCCTGAGAAGAAAAATCCTATTTCTTTGCTTAGTAGATGTAGAAGTGGGGAGTAACGTAGCATTAATAACTGAGATGGTACAAGGAATCCATCTGTGAATCTGTTCAGGGCTCAGGGGAGTGAGGGAGATAACCGGCTGCACATATTCAGGTGCTCTACAGAAAGTCATCCCAAAGCTCCACGTCCCTCCAAGCCGGCAGCCTCCGGGCGCGCGGTATCGGGCCCATTGCATTAGTGCTATGGGCAGTCCGGGACCTCGTCCACACAAACATTGGGATGATTAAGGATGTGTTAAACGAGTCCGTACTAATCCAGACCACCTGCTGGATGAATAGTTGCACTCTCTTGACACAGAGGCACCTGGACACAGCAGAAACTCACGTACACAGACTAAAATGCATGGCCCTCTTAAAATAGCTATAAGCTTTTCACATTCCCGGACACAAGTCTGCTTTAAAATCTGTTGAAAGCGTAAAAGTATTTGCGCCCATTAAGTGAGAATTATGGGTTTTCCCAAAATAGTGCTGCAGTACAATTACACACTGCATTCTGATGGCTTCCCTTTAGGGAGAGGAACCCTGGCTGAATCAAAATCACTCCAGAGCTCCACAACCAGGGGAAAATATTGTGTGGAAGTTCTGTTACATAAGGTATTCTCATCAAGTTATTGGCTATTAAATCAAATATATATATATATATATATATATATATATATATATATATATATATATATATATATATATATATATATATATCCATGCATGTGATTGAGTACGCACAATTTAGTGTCATACTGGGGGATGCAGATGCGTGTGTGTGTGTTACCTTTTGGGGTGGTACTGGTGTTTGTGTGGATCATTCAGGTCCCAGCGCTGGCATTCCTTCCCACTTTCTGTGTGGTCCATGGGTCCTCTGTACTCTTCGCCATTACAGTGAATACACTCAACTACACACACATGCAAACACACAGAGACACACACACCCATAAGCACAGAACAACAGGAACAGAGAACAAACAAAAACTCCCATATCAAAACTGAGAACCAAGGTCGGGAGAAGAGAATGAAAATAAATAATAAAACTGGACATTGTGGATTATTCAATGTGATACATATTAGGTCATGATTCTCTCCCTTAAATTGGCAATACATTTATTTTTTTGGGTAATAAAACTCCCCATAAGAAAGTGATGCATCTCCCTTAAGTTCCCGCAAACACTTACTGCGTCTTGCACTAGTGACGGCAATGACCCTTTTGATGTAGAGAAGGGTCAGCGTTTAGCATGGTGACTAGCACGCACTCTCTAGTGTTAACAACAGAGAGCACGCAGATTACAAACAGATGTTTATGAGTCGACTGCCCCCATGTGTTGTGTGCACACAACGCTTGCGTATGCGGGTTTCCTATTACGACCCTTCCAGTAATTTTCTTCATAATCAGAGCACGCGTGCTTTATTAAAAGTAAAGCCATGATCTCTGTTGTACAGTTTGTGATAAACTAGCAGGACAAAACACGTGAGTCAGAGAGGAAGAATTGTTTCCATCCTGATCAATGGAGCCACAGCCTGTCATTAAGGTGCGATCCAGAAAAAGACCCCTTGTGACAGCATGAATGCCCGGAGGATTGGCATGTTTTACTTCTTCGGACCAATCACTCAAACTGCCACAGAGATGGATAAAGCAACAATTTATCCAAAGGAGACAAAGGGGGGGATTTCAGCTTCTTTAGGTTTAAACCATTTAAAAAAACCTGGACTAGAAACGTCTGTAGCTAGCCTCACAAAAACGCACATGTAGGGTTGAGCACCGTTAGAGCAGGTGTTTCTCCGTCCAAAAGAATATGTGAAGGCCTCGTTTGCAGCAGCTCATTCTGGACTATGCCACTAATTTGTGTAAATTTGCCATCTGGAACGGCCATTATTTGAAATGAAATGTCTTCCCATGACGCGGATGTATCATGGGTGCGTTTGTGTCCGCGTGCAGCTTACCCTGTGAGCACTGGGGTATGCCACACTGCTGGTGTCTGAGTTCGGCCCGTGGGTCCGTGGTGAAGCACCACGGGCCGACGCTGGAGTTGTCTGGGTTACGACAGAAGTTCTCTCTGAGGTCCTTCTTCCTGAATCTTTTAGACATGAAACTGTTGGAAGCGGAGCCGCAGTTACACAAACAGTAAGATGAACCAAGACCGGTCGCCAAAAGATACAGCTGGCTTGCAGAGCAACTTGTTCTTTGAAAAACACCCAAAGATGACAGCGTCTGTTGTCTGTCTCTCTTTATACATCTCTAACAGAATGAGAAATCATCTGCTCATTTACGAGGCGGCTGCTGCTCAGCTGAAACGTGCCTGTAAATGTGTGAAAATTAACATGTGCAAAAGTGATTGACGGCCAAACTAAAGGGTTCGTATTAATATGTGGAAGCAATGTTATTTTTCAGTGTGTGTTTACAGTACATTCGGGAAGCGGCCTCATGGAAAACTGACTCATGCCTTCTACATCAGAGCAGCACATGGCTGCAGTCACCAATTGCTACGACGGACATATAGTGCAGTGAACCGTGAAGCTGTGTTTTTCCACATGATGATGAAAAGATAAAGAAGTGTTTCAGTGGAGTGGGTAATGACAGGTACCAAAGCGGGAGGCTCTTTTCTTGGAAATCAGAAAAGAAGAAAAACCTTTCATGGATAAAACAGCATTTCTTCTTTGCGTGTTTGCGTGTGTGTGTGTGTGTGTGTGTGTGTGTGTGTGTGTGTGTGTGTGTGTGTGTGTGTGTGTGTGTGTCAGAGTTTCCTCTGCCTGGAAGCCGACTGATAAAACATACAAAGCGACTGGGTTTAATCACCTGATCTAAAGAGACATTAATAGCAGTCTGATAAAGCGAGTTCGCTGGAGGTACAAACGCACACAGCCCTCTTTGATTCGTCTGCTGCAGCGACATCTCACTACAAAGCTCTTCACGGTAATTTAATACCTTTGAGTAGAGGGGAGTCGAGAGGGCAGGAGGTAGCGTGTGGTTCAGAGAACATACGAGTCTAAGATTAAGTGTACGCTGTGTGTCATTTCAGAGGTTCTTTGATTGTTATTAATATTGGGGAGTGATAAACGTTGTCCTTTATTATACTGGATTTCCAATTTCCTCCCTTCACCCAAAATATTGCTGTCTTTTTATTTTGAATGAAGATGATGGGAAGAGATAACATACTGCATGTAATTTGTGTCATGGCTCAAATTGTCAGATTTGTTTCTACCAAAGTTACACCACACGTCATGGAGATTATTTATGAGACTACATACTTTTTTTTTAATGTAAAAGATAAATGGAGTTATGGCAATTACTAAAGATTTGGTCATTTGGACACACACACACACGCGCACCTAGATAAACAGTAGGGACGCAACAGGAAATGATCTGTGATTGTTTAAAATGTTACAATGAGGTCAGTTCTGATGAATGACTGCTCCTATGAGGCTAATCAACCCCTAATATGTCGTATCCAGATAAGCAATCAGACTAGCCTCAAGCTACCAGCTAATTGTATCGCTAACAGGCCCATAAGAAGCAGCTTCAACACCACTTCCGTGTGGAAAAGTACATCAGATTCTTACTTGTGCTCATGAGGAATCGGAGAGGCCCAGGCCTGGCAGCGGATTCCGCTCACTGTCGTCGACCTCCGCCCCCTGTAGCTCTCCCCCGTGCCCACAATGCACTCCCTCACATAGTCTGAAAGAGGGCAGGATGAGAAGAGACAGTGGGCAGAGAGACAAGATGACAGGGGGGAAAAAAAGCCAGCCAATGAGCGGGAGGAGCCAACAACCTGAACGCGGTAATGTGCACACAGAGCCGATCGGAGATGGTGATGAAAACAGACAGAAGGAGCTGTTCGGCTGTAATGCGAGGCTTAGCGAGGACGGGGCGATGCCAGGAGAGCTGAGTCGCTTTTCATCATGTTCCGCACAACATTTGGATCCAGTAAAGTGGGCTGCACGGCGTGCGTGTTCACTGACGTGGTGCGTCAGACTCAAGTGGAATGGGAGGGTTTCCATTGTTTATTGTAAGAAAATGAACCTTAATGTTTTGCCAGACAAAAAAAAGGGCAATGGTTCTTGCCTTTCAATCACTTAAAAAAAAAGCATCTTCAAAGTAGGTATTTATAGAGCCATAAAACTCCTGCATGAATTAAATGATCAATGAATACGCTGCAGTGGTTCTGCTGACTGGAAGTGACACTATGCTGTGACTTTTTTTTTTACTGCAAAGATATGGTGACAAAAGGGAAGGAAAGGTGTGTGGGGGGGGGGCACAAAAACACCACTATGGCGTCTGCTGGTAGAGAAAAAAAAAAGGGTGAAAGAGGGCACCTTTCTTTTGATACAGTTGGTAGTTGAAGTCCTGTTGGCTCTGGGCTCCTGGCGAGCGGGTGTCAAACGACAGCCACTGGCATTTCCTGTTGGTATGGTCGTAGAGGAATGCCCTGGAGAATACGGAGAGAATAAAAAGAAGAACAGAGAAAAAGGGGAAGTAGACATGAATATGATTTGCCTGCTGAACAAGACAGCGAAGGACCATCACTATGTACAGACAGCCATTCATTCGCTATGTGAGAGACCGACTTCATCCTCTAACAGAACACAGTGCAGTTTAAAAGGGTGAAGCGATAAGAGCAAACATACCTGCAGTTGAAAGGAATTATTTTGTTGCGGCTGCAGGCTTTGGCACACTTTGCCAAGCTCCGTTTCTTGCTTTCTGTCAGTAGAGAGGAATCAGGAGACGCAACAACCAGCCGCACACCATCAGTCTTCTGGTAGTCCTGGAGTGCATTTCCATTTTGTTTTCCCTCTGATACACAATTACATAACATGTCCATGACCATTCAGCAGCACTTACACAGGCTTCCACTACAAGGCTGATGACAATAATAGTTTGCGAATTCCCTTTTTATGTGGATGATGCTATTTTGTATGGGACGTGAGGGACATTGAGATATACACGCACACAGTGAAGTGAAGCAGTAATACAAGTTGCCTCAGTTGTTGGAAGCTTATTGCATCACTGCAAAATCAGAGAGCCGGTTTGAATTTATATTCATTTATATCCAAGCGCACTTCAGTCGATTCAAGCGCTCGTCCCAACACAGAACAAACAAATCAACCCTCAAAGTTGCGCATGTGTTTCTGATAGAAAGATGGCTGTGTAGCTTCTGGGAAGCACGCAGGAGCTGTGGCGAAAACAACACGCGTGTGCGCGGGGATGCGCGGAGCAACCTGCGGATCGCGGAGCCTCGTGGACCCGATCCTTTATCCACTTGTGGCCAGCGGGCAGCGAGCCGCAGAACCGCACTGTGTTCGCGCTGCCGCTTGCCTCAAGCACACGTTACACATTGATGGGGGATGATTTTCTTTTTTCTTTTTGTTGCATTATTCCTTTATCGTGGAGTTTGTCTTTCTCGTTGTCTCCGTGCGTCCTTGTGCGGTGTAATGCGCTCTGGCACAGCAGCGATCGCACCACAGCACGACTGATACCTTGTTATTACAGTTAGTCATATCGTTTTTAACACAGGAAAGGGCAATTTAAGAAACGACTCACATTCGAGCTTTAACTGTTTCTAGCAATGGTTGGATTTTAAAGGATAAAATGGACTGGAGAACACGTCATGAGAAAGTTGTAATAATAAAGCCTCTCTTGTGTGTGTGCGCACAAACCGACGCCTTTGTGGCACCGTCTCCAAGCCCCGAGGAAGATGATACGGAGAGAAATGCGTTCACCCGAACTTACCACAAAAAGAAACGACAAAGAGTCCGAAAACGAGCTGGTAAATCCACATCGCTGCGGCACGGAAGGACAGTTTCGGACGCGAATAGGACAAGAAATGTTGCGCGCTGTGCAGTCGGACTGCAAGATGTAGCTTCCACTACTGCACAGATGATGCATCTCTTCTCTAAGTAGTCACCACCCCCCCCTCCACCCCCCCCACACCCTACCTCCCCCAACGTGTACGACTTTATCTCTCCGGCCCATTCTTTCACCCCTTCTTTTTTCAAGAGTTCTTTATTGGCCAGGAGTGTCACACGTAGCCTCAGCTTGTGATGCATGTGCCATTTTTCCTTCCTTCTCTCATTCCTTATTAGCGCAGATCCTGATAACATGTGTATCTGTCTGAGGATATTGTTTAAACATTATGTTCCGTCTCAATCAATAACCAAGACTTAATTTAAAATGAAATGTGATCAGATTTTGGACAGGACCACTGTACATCCTATATATACTCTAAAGGAAAATTGTATGATTAATATGGTAATAATTCTATTTATTTAAGGTTCATCCTTCTCTGTCGCATCCCACTCAACCATTGACCCTTGCCCCCCCCATGTCACCAAAGGTCATCAAGCAGCACAGTGTCTACTACAAAACAGATATTGGCGGGCACTTGTTACCACAGGGGAGTGTATGGGGGTTGGTTATTGCCCCCCCCCCACCCCCCCTTCCTTTGTTAAATAAGTACTGACTTTACCGGCGTTGGGTGGATGTGGACAAGACAACCCAATCCATCTCCTGAGTGCCATCTCTATTTACAGCGATGACAGCAGGAGATAGGAGATTCGACACCCCGCTGGAGTCCCGGAGCAGCGCGCCTGTCCACCAGTGACAGTCTAATGGGGTGCACAGTAAACAGAAGTGCCATTACTTATCCAGCCGCAGATTGACAGTTACAGCATCCTGGGGATTACCAGTATTTTTATTTTAAACAGAGGAATTGACAGATTCATATTTAAGCTCCTGCGGCTTGCTAAAGAACACCACAGAGTCATTTTGCAATAATAAACATCAGCATGAGCCAGATACTTTCACTGGACCAGAGCACAAGTCTCTTTTCTCTCACTCACTCCTTCTACCTTCAGTTGCGCACACATACACATGCAACCCAACCACACATTCGCTGGCTCTTTCATGCATACACGCGTCCAAGCGTTCTTTCTTTGGTCACATTTAGAAACAGGCAAGCAGATTCAGCTAGTTTGAGCCCCCCTGTGACCACAATCTCAATACTGACTCTCCCAGCAAAAATCCAGTGGGTGTTTTTCACTGCGACAGAGAGCCATGACTTCTGCTGAAAGATCACCATCACCAAGTCACCATCCAAGACTCCTCACATCTGTGGCTGGTTATTGCCAGAAACTCCATATCGTCATGCAGTTAGTAATGGAGGGAGGAAGCTCAAAGGGAGATGGAGAGGATAAAGAAAGTGAAGAACGTTGATAGTGAGATAGCGTGGATGAAGAGCAATTTGAGTAAAAGGGATGAACTATGGCGGAAGAGCACAATGCAGACATTGTTCTGAAGGCTGGTCTGTCTGAGTGCGTATTTTTGGAGTGTGTGGAGTATTTCTAGACTTCCTGTGGATTTGTTTGGAAGTTTTTGTGTCCAGTGTGTGAGCCATGCATTGTGTGTGTGTGCATCCATTTGGTTTTTCTTATCTGCAGCAATTTAGTAGTATCTCGTTTTGACCTCTATTTGTGCAGAGCAGAGGTGGCTAAGGTATTTTACTCTAATGAATAGCTAAAGACATGTCTGGGTTGTGAACTGTGTGTGAGTGTGTGTGTGTGTGTGTGTGTGTGTGCGTGCGTGCGCATGTTGGGCTTAGAAGCTATAAACACAGATACTCTGTCAAGAGATCCTGTTTAAAACAAACACACACTTCCTGTTGTCAGTGCATCCAATTGTAGTCACTGCTCGTAATTAAGATCTGCTGACAGTTACGGCTAACACAAATAAACTACGCACATGCGCTATCTCTTCACAACAGTTTAAAAGAAAAAGCTTCTCGGTTTTGGAAAAACAGACCCTTTTTTTTCTCGCGTTCAGCCCTGCGATCTGCCTTCGAGTCACATTGTCCTTTGACTTTTCAGATCACGGCAGAGACGAAACAGGCTGGTGAGATCAAAATGTAAAACTCTTACACATCAGTCCGTCATAATGCACATTTGCAGACTGAGTCACCAACACGTCTCCAGCAATAGCCTCAAATACGATCAGATGACTTCAGCATACGGTAAAATACTCAGCGTGCTATTGATTTTTCTTCGCTCTGATAGGGAGAACAACTGCTTTAGTCATTGTCACAGACGCAGCGAAATCGACTCTTGCTTTAGAAAGAAAGCACAGTCTCACTCATGACTCATCGTATGATGAATCATTGAACAAGTTGTCATGTCTGCAGATGTGTCTTAGACATTGAATAATGGAAGTGGTTTTACATCCCACAAAAGAACACTTAAAAATGTAAAACTTAACTCAAATTATTGTGAGTCTGCAGTCATTTTTTTTCCTTTGACAGCAGCTTTTTAAATTCATAAGATCATTCTTATGTTGAGTCATTTTGAGTCTTAAAACGCAGTAACCATTCATTCTCAACAGTCCAGTTCACTGAGTCTTTATTCAGCCCTTTGTCTGTGTCCCGCTTGTGTTTATGGGTGTTGATGTGAACATTTGAGACAGAATCTTGGAACAATTCCTCATCAAAATGCCCTGGTGAGTTTGTATATTCACACAAGACATAACTGTTTAAATGACACACATCCTATGGTACAAATGACTATGGTACACATTAAGTGTGTTGCGTAAACACATCAACATCCCACAAACCCTTTTGACAGTATTTGTCTGTCACTCTAAAAGTGCACAACACTGACACAAATGGGTCACGCTTACATACACAAGCTATATTGTTAAGGAATAGGACTATTTTGTCCTATTGTCTTGCTTTCAAATACGTTAAGTTTGTTTTATATAAGTTTATTATTTTAACCATTCTCCCGGATACATTGGTTTATAATAGTACGGACGCTTTCTTGATTTCATTTAGGCATGACATTGTATCAATTTTGTATTTTGCTCCATAAAACCACATTTACCCACCAAAGGTGTTTAATAAGTGAATAGAAAATACAGTAACATGTTCAGTTGCACACAAAGAGACCATAGAACATTTGGAATTTGGCTTAAGTTAAACACTTGCAAATTCTACCCAAGGGCACAACTTACAGCCCAGATGGAAAACCAGACCGAAAGGGAAGGAGAAGCCGATGCGAAAATAGGGCCCAAACTTGTGTTTCCTCACTACTTCCTCATCTGCTAACAGTCATCTTCGCTTGTCAGCTGTTTACTGCTAATTTGATGACTGGTGCTCGGAAACAGCACAGCTTTTGTCCACCAACATCAATAAAAAACATCAAAGTCCCCTTTGTCCGTCCCCTTTTTGATATTATTTTCATCCGATGAGGATTTCAGGCCTAATGATAATTGCTACTCCATGTATTATTTTGTTTGTATTATATTAAATGTGACGTAAGTAATTTCTGCATATGCATCCTTATGTGGGTGCACAATACAAAGTAAACAGTGACTCAGTCATAAGAACTCCGTTGCGTTAGTTCACAGATTTTCACAAAAAAAAGCATTAAGAAAGATAATGGAAAAAATACCTGACGCCGGTAAGAGAATGACATATAGTTTTTAACCTCAGTGAATGTGCACGACCCCCACAAATCTCACACCTCATGTTACCAGTTAATGTACGTTCGGCCCCTCTCTAAACACCGAAAAAAATCCACAAATCATCCCCAATCTATCGCTGGGATGGAATGTGTCCCGTTGAGACTGTTCACCTGGACAACGTCTTCCAGTGTTACGCCCGCCAATCACACTGAGAACACACACTCGGACGCACGCACAGCATGCTGACACTCCTACAGAAGAGGAGAGCGCACAACTGTCTGCTCATGTCTATGTGCTTGCACAAGCCTGGCATTTCCTGACAATGCCTGCGTGTGTGTTTTGTGTTTGTGTTTGGGCAACGTCAGTCAATCTTTCTCTCTCCCCCCATTTTGCAAATAAATGTTAAGGTTTCGGTTGGCTTGTGTTGTACGATTTAGAGTTCATTAGTGGATGTCTAAAACAGAAAGATCCTCTCCAAATAGAAGCGGTGTCTCACGCAGGACAGCACAGGCGAGTGCTGAGTTGGTAAGCGCTCGCTGGCAATGCTGTGAGATGTCACTGCACAGTGAGGCACTAGCTCTTTGAAGGATGTCGTGACCCTGATGCCTTTGCTCGGCGGAGCTTTATTGTAATGGAAAAAAAAACTGTGACCTCTGTGTGGCTGCTTACGGGAAGTGTAAACTTGTTCAGCGTAAAAAAAGTAAAAAGAGTGGAGCCAATTAAAAATCTTGCAGCTAAAGTATACAACATTAAAGTTCCCAGAAGTTTATTCTGAGTTGGGTTGATTGCCCTCGGGTTGTCCTGACCCAAGGGCTGCTGGGAGTGCTGGGGCTAAATATAAGACTAATATTACAATCACAGTTCTAAAGATAGCATTCACTGGTGAAGCGCTACGTAAATGGATGTCATATTACTATCGAATGAACTTTAAAGGGGTTCACAAATGTCATGCTGTTCGTCGGAAATCCTGTCACGCGTAATGTTGTTGGCGCAGCATCAATCTTGTGTGTCCTTTCCTGCAATTAGTGCAAACTCAAAAAGACACTGTGACTTTTACTCCACCACTAATCAGTGATACAGCTACTGCTTTAAAGGCTTTAGATTAGATGACATGTACTTTCTTGAGAAACTTAACTTTTAATGGTGTTCTGTAGAAATGTAGTATTTTGAGGGAGGTTAAATAGAAAGGCTGAATGGCAGAATAGAGCATCTTTGCTTAAAAAACGGGGTGCAGTCATTGCTAAAGTGGTTAAAACAAAGGCAAAAAAAAACCCCCATCACTCAAATTGACTTCCTCTATTGTTTGAATCTTTGTTCTGATTGACAAGAAAACAATACGTATTTGTTGACAACTGAGAAAGAAGTTTTACCATCAAACAAGTTTTACCAAGTCTTTAAATTGAACCATGTTATCAAAAAACTAAAAAACTAAGTATTCTATTGGATGCAAAAACAATAGTGAAACAAAAATGTCCAATGTTTGAATTGTAAATTTCAAATTTGCTTTACTCGTAAGTATGGAAGGAAAAAGTTAAAGCAGAAAATAATGTAATGTAATAATGTTTATTATAACATAAGTTCATTATTTTAATGTTCACTTTATTTAATTTCTCTACCTACAGTGTCAATAACCTGCTTAAAATATGGATATTTTGTATTTGGCCAGACTTGGATTTGTTTAAGGCAAATGCCATGAAACCTCTCTGGCCTTCTGGCCAAGTTTTGTTGCATATCCCCTCTTACTGACTAAGAGATTGCAAAGCCACCATATGTCAGCAATTAAGTTAGTTGTCACAATTCAAAATATTAATGGGTAGAACCACAAAACTGAGACACATATTGTAATAAGAGAAAAGAAAACATTTATTGATGCACTTTTTGTTTTTTTAGCCTAATAATGAATTGAAAAGAGAAGTAGAATCTGTCCTGACTTTTCCTGCGTCTGTAACTTCTTAAGTCAGGCATGTTAAAGGGTATGACCTTGTTACCATTTACAAGAGTATCCTGTTACAACCTACCTTCTACATATCCCTATGTAGGCGACGTAAAAGACCTCCCAGTCTGAAATATCAACAAGAAAAAAGAAAGCTTTTTATTCCCCACCTAAAACCATGAGCATATCGATTTTTAGATTGCCATCACAAAAGCCATCAAGTGAAGCGCTCGTAATATTCAACTGCTTTTGATGTTAGCAGCTGTCAAACTACTGCTGGTCAGGCGATGGCTGAACTGTCTGTGACAATAATGTTGCCAGAAGCATCCCAGAACTGGAAAGAACAGAGTACGAGCATCAGTTAAGCCCTTCATTTGGAGGGAGCTTTTTTTTTTTTTTTTTACAGTGATTTATTTAACTTCTCCCCTCCCTGCGGCGATGGATGTAGAAGTGCAACCTGTTTGTTGGGCATAGTTAAATGTTTAACAGGACATTTACAAACCACAAATCCCAGTCATCGTTGATACTACGTGTGGTCAGTCGTAAAAAAGAAGTGAGAGGGTAATGAAGAACAGATTATCCACCTGTAATCTTATTTTTGTGATAATATAACTCAATGAAGAAATTATTCAAATGGGATAAAGTAAGTTTAACCAACATGTACTGCATCCACAAAATCAGAACGACATTTGGAGGGAGCTTTTCTTTACAGTTTTTTACAGTAATTTAGTTAACTTCTCTCCTCCCTGCGGCAATGTAGAAGTGCAAACTGTTTGTTGGGTATAGTTAAATGTTTAACAGGACATTTGCAAACCACAAATCAGAGTCATCAGTGATACTGCGTGTGGTCCGTTGTAAAATACATGAGAGGGTAATGAAGAACAGATTGTCTGCCTGTAAACCTATTTTTCTGATAATATAACTCAATGAAGAAATTATTAAAATGAGATATAGTACGTTTAACCAACATGTGCTGCAACAAACACACCAGAACGGGGTTTTTTTTGCGATATTTTTCTCCAGGAGGTGTGACATGTCTGGTCTGAGACAAATTAACTGGCCAGTTGTGACAATAAAAATGAGCGCCTCCGGTCCTAACAATACAACACTTTTATTGTGAATATATATTTGCACAATAATCAACACCATATTATAAACAACTTTTCTTTTCCTTCATTTTCTCTTTTATACAGTAAATAGTATCAGTGTACAAATTTTTACAAAAAGTATTCAGGCTAATCAAGTTCCACAAAAGAGTAATTTATGTGCAATAATAAAGCACAATCAGATATCGGAGGTACACGCACATGCCTGCACATAGACACAGGACCCCCAGGTTAAAACACAAGTCAACACGCAACTTTGATAGACAGGCATAACCTGAACATTCAACCAGGTCATCATGAAGGCGAGGTGGAGAGGACTCAACTTTGTTTAAATAGCTAAAGAAGAAAAAACAAACACTACAGTGTGACCTTTATGACTTGTTATGGTGATGTAAGGCAATGTGAAATTACCACCGCTGGTAGTGTAATCTCAAAGTTCTCTCCAACAGGCCCTGATGCTGATCGTAGCGCTCAAACACAGAACAAGCTCATCCCATGACAGCTTTACGACACCGAGCCTTCAGCGTCTGCTTTACAGCACTTATAGAGCAAAACGAAGAAGAAACGAGTATAAGGAGAACAGCAAGGAGATGATAACAATGAAACAGTGATTTCGATATGATGATCTCGTTCACAAGTCGTCCTCGCTCCTGAGACTGGTGATCCAGAAACAGAAACAGGACCAATAAAGAGTGGTGTTGGAATACAAAGCTCAAGTTTGGTTTAGGTTTGTTTTGACCACGAGATAAACACTATTATCCCATAATCCCAAATACTGGTTGTTTCTACTGCTGCCGGGGCCACATGAGTTAAAACAATTGCAGCAGATTTGGCCCTCATCTCATAACGTATTACTGCAAAGGCTACCTTCTTTGTTACACTGAAGCAAACCGTATCAAACAAGCTTACGCGGTAACAATAAAACTGTTGTGATTCAGTTATCCGACTGTTTGAGCTACTGTGCAGGCACTGGGGATCTGATGCATCAGATTGAAGACAACCAAAGCTGTCGGACCGAGTACAGACACAACAATATTAATCCACATGATCCCACTTACTTTTCGGCAAACGTTTTACTATGTCAATCTATTTAAAACAGCCAACGTTGTAGCTTGAACTGGAGTGTGTATTCGCGGTCCTTGGTTCTGTGTGGAGCTTTGGTGTCAGAGTCCTGGTGTCTTCTTTAGCTCTGTACTGAACACATGCTGCTACAGTACAACGGGGCACTAGTCCCAAAACACTAGTTGGTTTGTAGTACAAAATAATTAGATAAATACAGTACAGTACATTTAAAAAACACCAAAGGGATACTCTTTGTAGATGCACTGGTTGACAAAATAATAATTCATCGCAGCATTATGATTCATACGTATATTAAGCAAAAAACAATATCGACAACTGGACAAATCAACGCTGTCAGTGAAGAAGGATGTTTAGTTGGCATAGTGGGACTCGACCTCTGCTAAATAAATCAGAGAAACAAATGAGGCAGAATTAAAGGGTTTGGTTAGCTCTTACTCTTGCACCATAGGTGGGTTTTAAGGAGTATTTCAGGGAAAAGAGTGCAGCTGAGCACAGAAAACTTGTCTCTGTTCTTGAAAATGACCAGGAGGAAAGAAATCCTTACTCTTCGGCATTGGACGATGAAGATGCTAATACTGGCATCAGAAAATAAAATGACTTTTTGCAAATATTTTGCATACATCGTGGATGGCATAGCTGGAGTGTTCTGGCCTCTTATGGGATGAGATGATCAGTGTGTGTGTGTGTGTGTGTGTGTGTCTGTGTGTGTGTGTGTGTGTAGGGGTCATGAGGTTTGTGAAGCTGTGATGACCCACAGCAGTAGTTGGAGTCCAAGCATCGGCCAAAGACACATGCTTAGGCTGGTCCCTCCGCCGCAGTCAGAATCATCTTCCTGTTGGACAAATCAGCAGTCAATCAATCAGATACACCATCTTCTCCTACGTTCTGTAGCTGCACTAAAGCTACAAACATCAACAATAACAGTAATTTGCAACACTTCGATTGAATATAATACTATGAATAATATTCAATTTCACTATGTTGCGATATTGTATTCCTAACTCGACCTGTTATTTTAAAAGGCACAGTTCAACCATTTAATAGTCGTGCTTATTCAATAAAACGATGGATATCTCACATCCTGCAGGAGCTAACTGGTTGCCAATGGTAACTTCATATCAACCAGCGAGTCATCTTATCTCTCAGCGAGCAAACAAAAAAGGGTTCTATTTCCTCAAATTAAAACTCATTTGAGTTCTCTGTTGCAGTTATAGAGGCGTTCCCGGCCTTGTTCTGTTTTACGTGCACATGTGTGTGTACGTGCAAGCCCCCGGCTCAACACTTTGTGGCATTTTTGAATTTGATGGGCGTGTTCAGGATATCCGTGCATGCCAAAGGCCTAGGAGCAAGAGGTGGGAGTCTTCCATATTCAAAGGGCAGGAAAGCCACGTTGAGCTTCCTCTGTTTACTCCAGTGATGAAGTGGACTGGCCAAGACACAAACTGTCCTTCCTACAAGGAGCTGAGACAAAAGTAATGGGACAGATAGAAAAAGGAAAATGGATGCGTTCCTACTTTTACTACTGTTCAGTGACTTCCCCCGGCCATTCCTCCTCTTCCCTTTGCTTCCAGGCATAGATTTTCCACAATATAAACATGCAGGCAAATGAATTAGTGGCCCATTATGTGTGTGATCTACGTCTTTAGAAGCCAATGGGCGGCTCAGTTCACATTCAAGTGCTTCGCCCCAAATATTTAGATGCCTTTTAAACAAGTTGGGTGGAAAAACAATGATCTCACACACGTTATCCACCTTGCTTCTTGGTTTTACTGGCTTACCTCAAACAGTAAAATAAAGTTCCATTCAATGTCATCCACATTTACTACTGTGTCAGGTCTATTACTGTACGTTGCATTCTCTGGAACCCAAAGAGACTTCACAAATTGAAAAGAAATGCATCCCAATGTGTTTATATGTTTGGGTAACAAAGCATTTAGCAAAGCTAACTAAAAAAGTAATGGGTACAAATATATTTATACATCGCTGTGTGCTGCTATAATTGAATTGTGGTGTACGATGCTATTATATCAAATTCATTTAACACTTTTTCCTGCCAAGATTCAATTTGCTCTCCATCTATTTGGGTAAAAAAAAAGGTGCCAAAGAAAGTCAGGCATTCTGTAAGGGAGAAAATAAATTAATACCATATGTGTTTCTCTACCAGAGGGTGTTATTTACTTAATTCTAGTGAGACATTCATTGTGTTACCTAATTTGTCCTTGCCTTGCACATTGCAATGGCCCAGGAATGGTAAAAAAAAAAATCCGCCAAAGAACATTTTGGTCAACTTACAATCCAATGCCAACAAACCAACCAATTGGTTTGGAAAAAAAAAAGAATCTGCATGTTAAGCGTAAAGGAATGAAATTGGCCACAGTACATTACACACTGTATCTGGTAGCCTAAGTATATTATAAGTCAATAAGTAAGTAACACAATTCATTTATAGTGCTTTATAGTGCTTTTCACATACAAAAGTCACAAAGTGCAAGAGGAGCGGAACTCTAAACATTGCTAACATTAAAAGCCATTTGAAGCAAGTGAAAATATGTTAAGCCTAAATGCAACTCCCCATATTGATCGAATTTCCCAAAATTGGAAATTCTGACGTGATGCATGGGATCCGATAGCCGATCTGCATTGATCACACCACAAATACATGCATTAATTTTGTCTAAAAAGAGGTTATCGACAAACTGATTGACCAATCGGATGTCTAAGACTCAAAGGGAGTGAAGCAGTGTAAGGGGACTAAGCCTGAACTCAGCACCAGAAACAACAAGAGAGGTGAAGGACTCAATGCAGAACATCTGCTGATTGGGCACAAGGGTTTATCCTACCAGACCAGAGCAGCAGCCATTGGTATGTAGAACCATAAAAGAAAAAGAATGATATATGAAGAATGAAAAGATCATGAAAAGCAAGATAAATAATTGAATGACAATTGTATAAAACATTCAGGAAATAATAGAATATTTATTCACTGATAAAGTAACTGAATAAATAAATAAAGGATAGATTAGAGTGAAAAATGATTCAGTGTTGAATCTCTGCCGAAGGCTGATGAAACCAAATAGAAATACAGCGCAGTGAAACCTCACTAACAATGCTGTCTCAAGCAATTTTGAGGAACGTGTCTGGGTGTGTCTTACATCTTCATTGTTGTCGAAGCACACATCCGGCCCTTTGCGGTATCTGGGATTTTGAGCAAGCTCACATGGATCTGGACCTTCAGCTGAAGACATTCTCAGGAAAAAGCTTTCTACCATCAGCATTGCACATTTAACAATTTAAAAGGAAACCATTCAATTGCCATAGAAGAGAAAGTAAAGGCAGTCCTTGAAATAAATAGACATGATACTGTGATTGAGCAGATTGTAATGTCTGTCTTTGTCTTTCCCCCCTACATACAGTATAAACACCTGGAACGGACCTCCAAAGGTTTGGCACAGATGTTAATGGGAGTAGCGTGAGGCCTTCAAATGTCGTGCCCCTGGTTTACCGTTCACCTGTGAACATTCAGGGGAGACCCACTACAAACTCCTTAGGTGTGTGTCCTTGAGTCTAAAGCTCTGCCTGCCGTCAGGGGGTCGGACGGACGGAGGGCTGGAAAGTGAAAAAAAGCATGTTTGATTTTTACGAGCTAAGTGAAAAGATACAGGGTTGTTCCGCCTGGCGCAGTGGCCTGGGGTCACACGACAGACACGTTGCCTTGGCGTCGGTGATCAGGAACACTAGGTTGGTCTTTGGCAGCTTCTCAGCACGATACATCCTAGAAAGCACAACATGCGTATACTGGTAAACATTAAATTGAAAATGTGAGGGATATCGTGCTCTAAAAACCTAAAAAAAATCTAGTTTTGTATAACAAATGATCTACAAGATATCTAGCGCATACAGCATTTCAGTCTATGCGTACACAAAGGTATGTGTGCTCAGATGTGCACGTATATATATGTGCATTCACAGGTCTTTTCTCCTCTTGGATTTGGCTTTTTTATGGTAGTACTGAAGGTTTCTGTGTCTACAGCCGTTAACATCGGGGGGATAAAGCAGCAGACACGTGGGACTCGTAACATCCAGTAATCACAGCCATATTTAACCCTCTCCGGCGGCTAGTACTGACACAGAGGGAGGGTAGAGCAAAGTGGATGTGCAGTGGTCTGTGAATGTGTTTATTAGAGAGTTGGAAGTAAAGCCAGAGAGTGAAGGAAGAAAAACAGATAAAAACAGATATTGTGCTTCCCTCTGCAAATCCGGTCAGTGACACGTCAAGGTGAAGCGTCTTATCAGAACTCATCCGAAAAAAATGTGACTGGAAAACAAACCACGCCAGGAAACTAACACTATTCTGAAGCCGTCCCTGCAGACCAGTAAACCGGAGGATATCCAGAGAGAAGAGATGGAAAATCCTAAATTACCCAAAACATTTGCAGAGTCACTGAAAAGTGAACACGTTGAGGTAAACACGTGATGAAACCCCTACGCACCTGGAACAGTTTCCACAGTCGAGGACGCCTGAGTAGGTCGTTTCATTATTGTCAAAGAAGTACTGTGTCTGCTCTGTGATGCAGCTTTCCTTAAACATGGCATCTGGTATGTCATCTTCCGCTGACTCCGCTGAAAATAACGGGCAGGTTTAATAGAGAATAACGCGAGTAAATAACAGCGAGAGTGGTGGGGTGAAAAAATCGTACCTTACATTTTACACAATCATAGCTTTTGCTGCTTACCTGCCTCCAGAAGGTTGGGGAACATGAGACCAAAGAAGAGCTGCTGGAGCAGAGACCTGGAAACGAGCAACATAGATGATGCCATCTTTAACTAATTCCACGTATAATAACAGCCACACATCTAGGGAGTAGATGACGAGAAGCAGTCATTCTTTTTTTAAAAGCTGGTTACTTAGCAGTTGAACGGTCACTCACACAGCGACGCGACATAATGTTGCCCAGCCAGCCGACTTTATTCCTAAAGTAGAAATGAACTCACCAGGCAGCACTGGAGGCCCACCAGCCAATACTGAGCATGTCGGCAATGGTGGGCTGGAAAGAGACGTCGCGTATAATAAATACAAAAAATGAAAACAAATGTCATCACAACATTTAAGAATTGAGAATCAATGCAGTTTGCGTAACGTGTGACTTGAATAAACGAGAGACGGAGCGGCTGCGGTCTGACAGCTTGTGGGAGGGAGTTTTCTAACCACATAGACGGAGCGGGGTCCCGCTGCAGCCTTGCCGTCTTTCTCCGGGTCACAGATGGACTGGTAGTCGTAGGTCTTGTTGAACGAGTACAGGGAGGTGTTCACAAGGTTGATCATCAGCACAGGATCCACCTCGCCAAAGAACTGACCTATCTAGAGGAGTTGCATGAGCAAGCAAAAGAAAAAGGTTGATACTGGCTTGAATGAGTTCATTCGCCATGAACACATTCGGTCCATGTAAACAGACGACCGCCAACCTCTTCCCCTGTTTGCAACCTCTACTCACGGAGTGTGGACAGGTGGAGAGTGGATGTGTGTTCATCTGTTAAATGTATTAATCGTATGTTGCTATCAGTCTCGCAGTAGGTCTTGTGCCACATTGGATGGACGCTAAACCAACGGGCCAGTTTCAAGGTTAAGTCATTTTTTGAAGTCCTTCAGTGGGAACAGGTCGCTGTAGTTACACAAGAAGAAACACCTGGAGGGGGATGGTCGTGTTTGTGTAGAACCATTGTGATGGGATCAGTTAGATATTTAACCGTTGTTTGTCACCGGCACAAACTAACCAAAAACTACATCCGCCAAATGTTTCGCACGGTGCCAATCGGACGGCTAAATGACCATGAACTGTGCGCCAGACGTTCTGATGGTAAAAAGGATCAAAGACGGCAGATGTCCTGTCGTGACTGACGTGTAAATTTCCCAGACCTACTGTTTGTCCGACCAGCACAGCGGCCCGAAAGAGAGGAGGTAACACAGCAGAGCTGACCTCCGGCCCACACAGGGGACGCACTTCACTTTGCCTGTCTAAAATCTATGAGGACGCTCCCTTTGATCCTCCTGGACAGGATGGTGCTTTACGTTTTACGTACGGCTTTCAGGACATTCTCATTACTTTGATGATTCATGAGCCCATTATTTGACCTTTTGCGTGAGATTTATGGATCCCTGACAAAGGAGAGCGAGGAATGAGGGAAAGTTGAGAAAAGTAAGAATAAAAAAATGCTGGAAGAATTGTTGATTCGCAGCTATTTGACTGTGTCATAGCAGATTTTTCCATGTGATGATTTTTTTTTAGCATATATATTATACATTTATGGTACGGTGAAGTAAGTGTTGACACTAACTCACCAGTGCGATGTACTCATCGTGGTTTGACATGAGAAGAAATCCCCCATCATCCAAGATGACACAGTCTACATGCTGTTATGCAAAAAGATGAATATTTTAAAAATGCAATTAATACAATTGGAAAATGGAAAATAATCTTGTATTTTTTCAAAAAGAGATACTAGTCAGGCCTGACTACATTTTTATATTGCAGGCAATATAAAAGCATATTTCTTCTGCAAGGTTCCATTTTTAAACAGGGTCATCTGCGCAGCCATGGCAACAGAATAACATCTTAGACAAGACAATAAACACAACATTCTCAAATGTGATTGAATAAACCGTTCTGCTCTACCTTGTCATTCCTCAGACAGCCACAAATCTCATCTTTACACTGAAAATATAAAAAAGTGAGTCAGACAGCAAATGACTGTTGTACCATTGATACATTCGTCAAAGACGGTCTAAACAGCACAAACGCGCCTTATTAACACAACTTACATTCAGCTTCAGTGTAGCGTTCATAAAAATGCTCATCCAGAAGGAGACGTTGAGTTTCACTCCCACTACTAAAGAGAGCAAATCACAAAACAAGTTTGAGTTTCTCCGTTGTACGTTCACAAGAAGCTTCACATCTGGGATTAGCGAGACTGACCAGCTGGTTTGATCGTGACTTTGTCGATTGTGAGTTCCACTGCTTTGCTGACTAGAATTCCCGACTCAGTGACCGACTCCCTGCCCTCTGCTGCAGTGCAGAAGGGATACAAAAGAGACGGTAAACAATAACCATGGCAAATTCACCCAAGTCATGTTTAAAATGCGCTTGGCATAGAACATTTCAAAAACGGGGCATCGTGGCAAAATGGAATAACGGCTTTCCAAGTTGGGAAATTCCACAGATTTTTAGCTGCTAGCAATTTATCTGAGTGGAATCCGTGAGGCCAGTACATGTGTTAATCCCGTCAAGTGTGGAGGAAAGCACAGCCACATTACACCGACGTTGGCTCGGCCTAATGTCTGCTAGAGAGATCAGTGGAGATAACAGGAAGTACACAGCTGGGCGGAAAGGCAGGGGGAGAGGGGGAGAGTGGCTGAAAGACACAGCGGGAAAAGGAGAAGGATAAAGACAGTGGTATCGCAGGCCTGGGAGCGCGACCTTTGCCAGCAGGACTGGGATGGCGTCCAAAGGCAGAGAGCAGGATAGGCCGCGTGCCAAAACCAAGATCTTCATACACGCGAGTGCACACGCATTCACATATTAAAAAATTCAGGAATACTTACAGTTGAAAGATGGCGCCGTGAAAATGTAGATTTTATTGTCCAGGGTCCTTTTGTAGAAGCTGGACTCATATGTCTCAGGATTCTCAGTCCACTCTTCCCCAGCACTAAAAACATTAATATAGTTACATCATGTCATATATGGACCATTATATCCACAAACCACAAAGAAAATGTGATTTATCTGAACAATTTGTATTTTAATCTAAAGCCAAATGCTCGTCATTGGAATGCAAGCCACACCCATATGCAGTTGATGTATGCCAAGGGCACGAGCTAGTAAAACCAATTACTGATAATATTTCATGTTGTAAAGGAGGGTGGAACATATATTCATCTGCAGCTGGAATATCGTGTTTTGACCAAGTGGATCCCCCAAATGTAGTTGAGATAAAAGCAGCAGCGAGGAAATTGAGGAAAATTAGTTTTCCTGCTGTTTGGCGGCTGGACGTGTGGATTTTACCCGTATCCTGTGCTGGCTTGGCAAGCTACGGGACTCCAGCTCAAAGTTTTCTAATCCTCTATATTCTGGAAAGTAACCCAGTGGAACCGGTGAGTAAAGCAGCCAAAATGGGCCGAACTTAAGAGCAGTACAGTCTGTATCTGTTTCCATTGCACACATTTACACCACCCGATATTTGGGCAAAGCATACCGTGCTGTTTCACAACGCCAGCACTAATGCTAGAAGTGAAACTGAGTAGAAGGAGGGTAGAAACAGTACCTTCTCGGGTAGACTCTTGTTATTCCTCCATCCGTGGCTACAAATCTGGCCACTATTCCTTCCCTGAGAACATGGAAAACAACAGCAATCAAAGACAAAGGCATAAATAAACTGTGAGACCAACTTAACACAAATTGTTTCATTACCGGCTTCACTTGTTTCTATTCGTCCTAATAACCCATTAATGTCATTCTTTTTTTTTTCTTTCATAAAAACAGCATGTCGTGGCAGAGCTTCGAATAGTTCATGTCATCGTGTCTCGTTTGGAAAGCAGAGACAGAATGAAAAGGTAAATCCGTGACTGTGACATACAAGCTGGTAAAGGGTAAGAGGTAAAAACAGCATGTTTGGCACTCACACTGTCTGCTCGTTCCAAAGTTTAACCAGTTCAGCTGTGAGACCTGCATCCAGTATTAGTCGATTCACCAGGGACATATTACCTGTGGATTAAAGAGGGGATACATTTTACCTACAGCGAACAGTACAACACCACAATAACAGTGATTAGTGGAGAAATGTGGCATGGAGCAATTGGAGGAGGAGCAACGTTAGCCTATTATCTATGAATATTTGCTAAGAAGATCAATATGTTATGCAACTGCAATTTTCTTTCCAGCAGAAAGAATCCTGAATAGACAGCTGATTAAATGTCCGATGGTGAAAGTCAGGCTGAAAAAATAACAGAAAATTCTCCAGCTGACTAATTATTAGACAGTAAGACAAAAGAAAGGTTGTTTTTAAAAGATTGGTTGTTGCAGCTTCAGGAGAGATCGTAAAGAAAAATGCATGGGAACTCTGTTAAAAATGTTAGACCAAATTAAGAATGAATTGTAAGACCACACTGCACAACAGCAACCAGAAAGGCATTGATGCATGTTCAGAGGGCATGACCGTGGGCTAAAATGGATCGTGGATACCTGGATCCATTAGCTGGAAGATGATGGTAGGTCATAAGGGGAGACCCATTAGATGACGACAAATCAAACAACATGAGTCATTGTGTAGCACGACGACGATAGTCGTCTAGGAAACGCAGTCCGACGGGCTGATGTCACTCTGCTTGTACCACTATAATCAAATGACGAAATGAATACCTTGACCATCCGATGCCGACCTTTGTGTTATCACGGGTGGAAAATTACTGAAATGACTAACAGTAAAACATGCGGTGCGTGTACGCATACGCCAAAAGCATCCACTTCCACCAAGCTGTGCAAATGCGCAAAGAGAAATAAAGATGAATGACTCACATGCATCTGGAGTGCTGTTGTCAATGTACTGACTGAAGTCGAGGAGAAACTCTGTGTTGTTGAGTGACAACTTCAGCTCCTTGCAGTACTCCCTGGCGGAACAGTATCGATACACACAAGTATCAGCCCCTTGTTTGCTTCTCCCTGAGGAATGGAGTTTGATGGGATGCGTCAGGTGCACTTACCTCGGAGCAACGTAGGTGTAACCAAACTCATCAAACCTCTCCTGTTGTATGGTTTGCATGGCTTTTGAAAAAACAGAAATAATTGGGTTTAGGTGGTTAAGATTGTGAATATCGGTTTTGAGCTTAAAGTGTGCTCTATATTTCTCATATTGGACAGGTGATGGATCAAGGTAGAGAGTGCGCATTGTAAGGCATTGGAGAATGACTGAGTGAGAAGTACTTGCCTTCTTGGCCTGTTGACACCGCAGGGAGACAGAGATGAGGAGAAAGGGTTGATTAAAAAAATGCAATCATTATCTGAATAATTTCATCCCTTATAAAACAAGTTGACTTGAATTGTAAATATTTTCCTATATTACAACAGTATGCTGCACTGAAAGAATATTACGTCTTATAGACAAACATTTTGTAATGAAGAAAACTCCTTCCACTCAATGCTTTGTCTCACCTGGCTCAGTTTCAGAAAAGTGCGTGCTAATTCTCATCTCATAAATGACCTGACTGGCATGGATGACCCTCATTCACGAGTCTCTTAAAATGAAGACATTTCAGATATTTCCTTTAAAATATATTGAGACATGTGTTGCAGTCTGCGAAAAAAATGACTAAGCACTGAATGTCCTGTGGGCCGTTTAAATCTGGTGTGTGATGAAACAACGTCCTCCACATAAAACATTATTCATTGTCCATCTGTCCCTATAGGCCAGGCAAGGTGTGTGTAAGTCCAATTTCTTTCCACACCATTCATTATTTTTTCTTATTTTTTGCTCTTAACGTTTCTGTCAAAATCCCTTCAGCCCCTGTATTACGTACTGCGTTCAATGCATTCATCACTTGTTCTTTATGGGATGAAAACATTTCCATCCATCACACACCGCCAGCAATCCTCCATAATGTATTAGGAGGATAAGTGGCTGCAGGAACCACCTGAGACAGATAGTATTGGGGGTCTGGCTCCAATGTTGAAACTCTGTACGGCTGCGATATTTTCTTTAAAAGGCCTGTAAGCGTTCCGACGGCCTTTATGGCGCAGTGACAGACTCGTTATGGCAGAAAGGGAGTGATGCTGAGCTCGAAAACACAGTCAAACTCTCATCTGCAGGAACAACCGAGTCATCAGCAGTTGATGCTTTTCGGAGTTTTAAAAATACACTAATGCCAAATGGTCGATGGTGCTGATTGTGGTGTGTTTTTTCAAATGAGTCATCCACCTCTGCATCTATACAGTGCAGAGACGTCCAATCCATGCCTTCATCCCTCCATCCATAATCATGCAAATATATTGAGGACAATCATGCTTATGGAAGAGCATCCCAAAGAGTGATGAACACAGAATACAGAGAATAGTGAGTACTTGCCCCAAGAAGAAGCTAAACGATCCCAGTGTGGATGCAGGACAAGAGAAGATCATTTATATCAGAATACAAAGTATGTATAAAGAATTGTACAGTATCCTCGCGCTAATTACTTCAATTGAGCTATCGGAGACAAATGGAGGAAAAATATATTGATAAATGAGTTGAAGAAGAATAAAAAGGGGGCGGAAAGGGATAATAGGAGGAATAAAGAGAACGAGTTGAGGACAGATTAACCAATCATGTAGGAAAACCGAGACAGAGCGAGAAAACAATCCAGATATAAGTGTGTCTGTTACCCCATGAAACATTTAAGTAAGGAAATAGAAACATAGCGGAAAGTGGGGAGGGGAGGAGGGGAAAAAAGAAAAGAAAAGGAGAGGCGGTAATGAGATGGAGAGGATCAAGTCTAAAGGGCGACCGGGAGAGAGGAGGGTGGGGGGTGGGGGGGGTTAAGAACGAGGGAAGTGCAAATTGCAGACAAGATCAAAAGAGCTGGTGCTTGGGCTGCAGTGTGTTGGACGGGGAAAGCGTGTGGATGAGTGTGTGGGAGCGCGGGGCAACTGACCGCTGGGTCACACACTACGAAAGGAAAAAGCTTCATGGTGCCAATCTGAGCGGCAAAAACACAAAGGCAGCGCTTGTGGTTCCAGCTCGGAGTGAGTAATATCAAAGAAGGAGATACCCGAGACTACGACCTACGACACGTAGGCATGGGAGGGGCTTGTGAGGCACAAGCTACATTAGATATGGAGTTTGACACAGGGGATGCGTGCTGTACTTACATATAGCGTTTTTTAAGTCGTCTCCCAGTTTGGCTTGAATGAAGTGCTCACTGTATCTCGGTAGAGCCAGAGCCAGGCTGCAAACGTGACACGGTTACAAGAGTTTTGAGGTTGGAGATGTAAGGTCTGGTTTGTGTGAATTAATGATGTCTGGTCAGACAAACAAAAATGTGATTCAAAGCCTGCAGTGTTTTCCAAATTATCCTTTGACTTATCATGAAAAACAACCAATCAAGAAAAACACAACTTTTTTTTCTGTATTTTCAGTGAACAGTAACAAAAATCTTTCAAATGCATTTTTTTAGACAACCAAGTACAGACTTTCTGTTAGAAACAAGAGAGTGACCTCTGTTGGCTTAAGTAGTGTCCTCCATCACCGGAAATATTCTCTGTAGTTAGTGCCGCTGCCTTTAGTGACAGCGACAGCTTAATGAACCATAAAGAAATATTACAAAATGACTGACGTTGCTCACCTGTAATCTGTCCCATTGACCGGAGCGAACGTGTAGGTTCTGACGCCCCGATCTATGTACCGCTGCCAAAGAAGAAACCGGTGAGTGACATTCAACCACTGGCTCCAGAAACATAAAATGCAATACTACTTGTAAGTCCTTTCCAGTACTTAGTCTTACCTCATCCTGAGTTTTAACCAGTGTGTCGATGGTCCGTTCGCCCGTCTCCCCGTCAATCATCATTCTCCTGGTCTATAGGGAGACATTTTAGAAACAGACAGCAGTTCAAGCATCCTTGTGTCTGACTGACAGAGGATCAGTATCATGGAAGACTTTCTGCCGTATAACCTCATGCTAACGAGTTAGGGACACAAAGTAAAACTGCCTCAGTCCCTTTCCTTGAGTGTGTGTGTGTGAAAATAAATGCCATGCATATACACACTCTACCTCCACTTTGAGGTCATTCTCCAGCTCTGCATCGAGGAAGTCGAGGGTAACAGGTTCCTGGAATTTAGGATTCTGTGGAAAGGATGATGTTGCAGTTTGTAAAGTGATGACATTTAGGAAACTTGGACAGAGACAAAACCAAACCCCCAAAAAGGAACCCTATCGGCTCATATCGGGGGGGTTTGGGTGGAAGCAAAGTTAATATTGTAATAACCCACTTTTTTTATAAAGCCAGCTGAGTAGATGAGAATAAAACTATTATATTCAGTGGACCATTTAACAACTTGTATTCAGAGATGGTTCTTCTTACTGTAGCGATCCGCCATTTTGAGTAATATGTTTGCATCTCAATACCGGGTTTGCAGTGAATGAACAAATAGTTGACTTTAGTGCAATTTTGTTTTGTTCTATATTGAAGAAATTGCAAAATTTCTTAAAACATAAACCAAATCAAATCCATAGCATACAAATTACAGGGTACCGTATGGCGGCTGTGACACCACAGCGCTGAATCAGACCTGATACAAAGTGACACTGGACCCTATTAATGTCTTCTCTTAAAAAACCCATATGTCTGAGTGGCTTTATGAGGTTATTAAATGGTGGCAGGAATCTAATGCTTCTCTATAAAACAGCAGTACATGGAATCCAACACCAGCCTTTCCACTACAGCGGTTGTTCATTCTGTACTAGGCCTTTCTGCCTAGTTTCTTATTTTTACGTTGATATATGGAAACACTGCGTCAGTAGATCAATACATGCAAACAATGCATTCTAACTTCTAAAGGAAGACAGGGAATGACGTTGGATGTGAACATAAAGATAATCGTGTGAATCAGTGCATAGAAAAGAAGAGCAATGAACTACAAACTAAATCCATCAAAAAACATCAATTGAGTTCCTTACATTTGATGGCAGGTGAAATTAAATGAAGCAGCAGGAAGATGAGGAGACGAAGCATCTCAACATGAACATGAGAAAAGAAAGAATAAAAGATGAAAAGGTACAACACTGAATGAAACATCAAACATATACAAGTAAAACAGATCTATGAGAAATAAGTGATGAGGAACAAAAAATAAGAGTGACTTTTGGTGGAGCAAAGAATAAAAATTCTACTGTAACGAAGGAGTTTATGTGAAATACATACAAACATGATCTAATAGAGAAAGTGTCACTGCAGAGGCAGAGACGGTCAAGGAATATGTTCAAAGGGCTGAACGACTTATGTATTTATTTGATCTCCCATTCAGTGGATTTAATGAAATGATGCATGACTGACAGGCTCAAAATGTCACAAACAGACACATGAATCCTTTCCATCAAGGAAAGCCATCTTTTGTCTTTGAATAAAGTTTATATTTTAAATATTAATCACAAAAGTATTGCCCTGAGCTGCAGGTCGCTCCTCACAAGGAACTGATTGGTCTTGAAGTCTGAGAAGATTGATTTTTGTCTGATATGTAACCGCGCAATTCTTGCATGATCGCGTGCTCTCCGTAGCATTCCTAATATTATATTTAATTTCTGCCAATAAAACTTGAACCATTTCTATTTGAGGGTCATATTTTGTGTCATTCAATGTTAGACTGTAGACTACAGCAACTTCCCCCCTCATTCCGGTATGTTCTATCGATCTGACAGTGAAACACTCACACAAACACGTGGGAATACAGCAAAACATACAGACACATTAGTAATTAACGATAAAATGTTTATGACCAGAGCGATCATTACAAGCTACACAAGAATGTTCCCACAAAGGATTTATTATGGCCAGCAAAAATGTAATTATTAGCTACAATTACTGCTACTACACGTACAGAGAATTAGGAGGGAAAAGCTACGGGTCGACGATACAAAAGAACTCTAAATCAGATATCTTTAGGAACTACTTGTGCAATCTACAGCACTTGTTCTTAGTCTCACCTCATGAAAAGTGACAGCATACTTATTACTGAGCCTGAGCCTTCTGTTACGAATCCTTTTCTAGGAAAGTTTTGAAAAGATGCACAGTGATGCATTTGTTTTATGTCGTACGCAGAGTGGGGGTTTCAGAGCCCACCAAACACATTGTGTCACTCCCAACTGCAACTCAGCAACTGTTTACTATTTAGACAAGCACATATTTGTTGACCGTGATTTCAGTCTGGGTAAAAAAGACCATGAGGAAAAAAACAGAAAGAAAGATGGAAAGAATATAATCTGCAGTATGTCTCTATTTAAAAAGGAGCTTTAAGATTACTTCCGATAATATTAATCTGATACCATTTGAATTTGTCATATATTTTCATTCATACTAAATCCTTAAATATGTTTAACGTCTCGAATATGATGCTAAAAGTAAGATAGTACATTAAGTGCTACTAAAAAAAAAATCACATTACTTCTTTTATCCTAGAAAATATAATCTTCAGCATATAAAGAAGATTTAAGGAAGGAATTCAGAATGGAAGTAGCATTAACAGAGTCCCTTTCCATTCATAGGATTATCTCTTTTCTATGCCACAGTCCTTTTTATTCCTTCATTCTTAAATCCATACAGTATATATATATATATTCCCGTTTTGCAGCCTTCACATCTATTTTGGCCCACATGATAATGAGTGACCTTCAAGCCCACATGTGAGGACTGAAAGTATCAAGTCATACTCCATAACTGGATAATTCATTACTTTTATGATGATTCATGATACGGTTCCGGCACATAAATGTACGAGGAGAACTTGATCCATCTGCTGGCCTGCATATTATTCACTGCGACAAGCAGTCAATGTGTCATCATATGGAATGGTCAGAACATAATTTAATGCTAGGACCTGGACCTGTTGAGTGATGCGTAGGCTCGGGCACCGTACCTTTGGCAGAAGATTGGGGTGAAGCAGGACATATCCATTGGGATCAATGGCAAAATAGTACCCATTTGGACCAATCTGAGGCAGAAAACAATTAACAGAGGAGGGAAACGTTTAATGTCTAATGGAATCATATCACGTTCTAATTTACCAAAGGGGAAACCTGGCCAGTCACAAGACATTTTATAGCTGTATTTATCTACATGCACGTGACTCACTGTGAAGCGTGGAGTGAGCTTCTTGATGTCATTCAGAGACACGTCAATTCCCATTACGCCAAGAATCAATTGATTCTGGTGCTAAGAGACAGAATGAAAAAAAAAGATCAGTAACAGGAAAAATACACCATCCACTCCCACTGACACAACTTATTCATGCGTTCATGCATTTATTTAATGCACCTCGCCATTCCTGTCATCTATGGTCTTTGTCTTATTGAAGACAGGTAATGTTCCAGTGATAACCAGACCCAGTTCCTGATGGAGAGCCAAGCAAATGCACTGTTCAAGCCAGGAATCTTTTCAAGTTAAACAAACATGGCAGAAACCATATTTCCATGTAATGAATTGGAGAACACAAACGGTACCAGAGCATCAAGGTATACGTTAGTCCACTGGACTTGTTTGGCCTGCTTGTCTGCCAAAACCATCGGCCTTCCCAGGACATCTAGGTACTCCTAAAATGGACAACACATTTCCCCTAATCAATGCTTCCATGACTCTTAACTGGAATATGAAAAAAAAATAGCAAACCACAATCTAACCTGTGTGTTTATTCTGATGGCCCCGATGGAAGGAATCTCATAGAAGTAACCTGGATAAATGATCAGACATCATTTTGCTGGAACTTCATGTCAGGATCACACGATGGTGAGATGAGATGGCAAAGGTGCACGAGTAACCCAAAACCATAGAGCAAAGCAAACGGCCTGTAACACTGACGTGCTGTCCGCTGCATCGTGACATCACGACACATTAGGTGAGTAAATAAGGGCCTTACAGATTGATCCACTATTTCCAAAATGATGTTCAAATCCGTACAAAAAACCTTAAACCTTAAACTTAATCAATAATGTGGTAGTGACGTGTGCTATGATGTGTGCTGTACCTTTGTTGGAGCAGGCCATCCACTGAATGGGTCCTTTATCATAGTTGTGCTGTCCTACTGAGAAGGTGAAGATCCTCACCTGGAGTTTCAATTCAACAATATACATCATTATATACATATACATTTTATATACAATATACATATATATTGTATATAAAATGCCAAATGATTGATGATTGTCTTCTCCCTAATATGATGTTATTATAAACTAAATATCACGTTTGACACTTTATCAGATCATTAATACATAAAAAAGATTTAACATATGTTTTAAATGTATGGTTTTCATTGTAGTGCCATGGTACTTCAAATTAACTACAAATAATAATCAAATATTCAAAAGCAAAATATGAGAGATTTTGATTTAAGGAAATAGTGTCCTCAACCTTGAGCATGAGCGTATTTGTGTAGTGAGACGGACTTTGTTATGCATAATATGTATAAAAAGAAATTCTCCCGCCGTGCATAAACTTTTAGTTTGGGAGGAAGTGCACACGGAAGTCTGGACCCAAAGGGAGCGGCAAAAAGTCTAAAAGAAACGGGAGCACATCCACATAGCTAACGGCAAATCATGTCACACTGCGGTTTCCAATGCGTGTGTGTCGCTGTGCACCGTTTTAACGTACCTTTTTCTCAGCGTTGTACTTCTCTAGTATGGCCTGAGCTCTTTCTTCTCCTCCGTCAGTAAACAGCATAATAATCTTGTTGCAGTTTGCTCTACTCACATTAGTCTAATCAAAGGAAAACACAAGTTTTTCTAATTAAACCTTTTTTTTCCCCACTCAGCCGGTCTGCTGGTCCATCCAATTTGGGTTTGAGAAAAATACCTGTTCACCCATAAATACACTTTGGCACATGTGATGTTTTCCTTGACCTGTCTAAGGTCATCATCAGGTCAAAAGCAGTGATTTCCTCCTGTCAATATGCACAGTCCCCGGAGGGTAAAGCCAATTACTGTTGCTGACCTGATTTCCTTGTATCTCCCTCTCAGAGAAATTCACAATCCAATACCGTTGTGGATAACCCAATTGTCTTTTCTCTAGTGCTTGTTGGTCAACAATCAATCATTGGGTGTTATGAACATGCAGCTGATAGCAAAGGCTTCAAAAGTGGTGATCGAGCCCGACACCATCACAACCCAAAGTATTGCTATTATTTGTTTTAATGCAGGGTTAGGGTTAGTGCTTTGTGGAGGTAACACTTTCAGCCAGCAGATGGCAGTACAACGCAATGATCAAACCTTATTTAAATCTGAATTTGAAAGTCTTACCGTAGAGAGCTGCTCAAAAGCAAACTCAAAACCCTTTGTGTAGTTGGTAATCCCTTTAGCTGTGATGTTCTGAACGGCATCCTTCAGCAGTTTCTTGTTCCTTACGTTGGCTTGGACCAGATGTTCGAAACACGCTGTTTTCTTCACCCTGGTGTTAAACTGGGAAACAATCAGTTACAACCAACAAATACTCATATAATTACAACATGTCTGCATTTGTAATAAATACAGCACACACTACCACTCCCACCTGGACTTGGCAGCTATCAGACACATTCATCAAGTCCCACTAATTGCTTCACATCCTGGGAGCTCAAAGATTTGGTATCCATGGAAACAAGATTCTGCTATACAAGATTAGGGTTAGGGTTGGTTATCAGCAACACCATCTTTTTTTTTTTTTAAAGGTGCGACCTGCTCATTTACCGTCCCACATGCACACATGATGCACACATAATCCACCCAACGTTGACTGAAACCATGCAGCACATCTACCGTGTTACAGAACTCTTCTGAAACAAAACTGCACCTCATCGATCTCCACTATCAATGTGTCTGTGAGATGGCCAAAGGGAGGCTGAAAACACTGATCCAGGCTGACAAGCACGGAGACAAACCGAACTCTGACCATATGGGTGTGTGAGTGTGTTTGAGCGCGTGTCTCCAATGAGCCCGACTGCCTGGAAGTTGCTTTTAGATTGACATTAAAAGACATACACATCTCCATTTAATGGAAAAGCAATATCACAACGGCTATGACTTGACAAAAGACTGAATCAAGGCGACAGCGAATAAACATGCACGCACTCACAATGGAAGTTCGCATAATTGCCCTCGTGCAGCAGACAGGGATCATTTATCACGTAATCTATTAAAAGGAGATGGGAGGAAGGTGGGGAGGGAATGTGTGAGGGTGAGAAACAGGAAATGACACGAATAGGACACAAAAGAGGAGGGTGCGAATGCAGGTTTCAAAAGCAGAAGAAATTAGATTATATGTGTCATTGAGCAAAATATAAGGGCAGACCTCTGCCAAGACTGAAAAAAAAATAATGTGTGCATCCGCCTCGCAAACCTTTGTGGGTTCTTCCTTGGTCTGGACCATTCTCACCATTCGGAAACTATTTTTTCAAACTACTTTGCTGAGATGGTATTGATCACAGTGAATTTAACATAAAATCTAAATATTAAGATTTTTGAAAACAATTGTCTCAGCCTTTGCTAAATTGTTATTGTCCTTGCACACATATGTCAATACAATCTACAACCAATTCCTCTGTTCCCCTGGTGATCCTATTACAACACCTCTGTGTGTGTGTGTGTGTGTGTGTGTGTGTGTGTGTGTGTGTGTGTGTGTGTGTGTGTGTGTGTGTGAGACGGTCCAGGTCTTGGTAATGGATTAGTGATGTCACACAAGAGAGAAGGCTAATCTTCAAATCCTAATCCAGCAGGACTCTCTGCTTTGCTGGTTTAGTACTCTGATTTGTCCGGACGTCACTGCATGATGCTTGCTAACACGGCTGACACCGACTAACACGGCTGAACAGGTTGTATGAAGGTTAAGGAGGTCCAGGGAGTGTGATGGAAAGTGAGAAGAAACGAGCCAAAATGATTTCAAATTTAAAAAGTTGGATAGACTGAAAATAAAATAAACAGCCATCAGCAGAACACCGCCAAAGACAGAAAGATGAAGCTGGATAGGAAAAAATAGGGTAAATTACAATTTACTTTTGTCTTATTTTGGTAATTTGGGAAATCCTTCATTTTGGTGATATACAATACTAGGATCTGAAAATGTGGTAAGATTAAAAAAACAATAGAGAGAAATAAAGAGTCATGATGAGACGCGATCATTTGATCACACGGGTTCTACTACATCGTTTTACTGTGCAGGGGAGGATTGATATTTCTACTATTATAACTCCCTTTCAGTTTTACCTCCAGACCACATTAGCTTTGCATATAATAACTTTTCTGACTGTTCATGTTTCTCCCTCTATTGAACTTCTAAGTATCCCCAGATTTCAATATCGACTTCAGTAAGGACAAAGTCATTGTAATATAGTAAAACACTTCCCAAAATTGTAATAAACGTAAATGATCCTGTTAGCAACCTTTTAAATGGGTGCCTTTCATTTTCCTAGGACCACTAACAGCATCGGTTTTAATGCATTTCTTTAAAGAAAAAAAGTTCAAACTGAATCCGACTCTCAGCTAATCGCTCTCGTTCTGTCTCACTTTGGTAGACATACACATAAACACACACACACACACTGAGCTCCCCGACAGATCCGGATAATTGCACATCCTTGCAGAATCACAAGTCTGCTGTGAAACAGAATACATTGTGTCCAAGACAAAGGGCCCCCAGAGGGAGGAAACAGAGTCTGAATGATAGAAGACGGCTGCAGTCTGCATTACGCTCCGTCTCAACAAACACATTCGCAACCACCCACTTCAGTATCACAACATTAGCTCTCTTTGAGTGTAATCACAAATGTGGACGTGCTGAAATAGACGGAAAGGAGGTAAAAGGTGGAACGGCGGGATTGGTGGAAAAACAAGAACGGAGGGGAAAATTTGTGTGTAAAGAAGAGACGTACAAGGTTTTTCCTTCAGTGACACAGAGAGATGTATGGAGGAACCTCACATGGCAACATGCCAAGAGGAATGTCACGTCTCAACAATGACAGGAAAGAGTGATGGAGCGATTAAGACGGTGATGAATGAGTGTTTCCAAGAGTTCCACTCTGGTCAAAAGTCTAGATTTAAAAAAGCAGAAGTGAGAGTGTACACACATGCGCATGCACACCTACAAACACACACAAGCGCACAAGGTAAGGGGGACTTTTAATCCTGCACACCAAATAGAGCAGTGGATATTTCATTAAAGGTCTGTTTCAGGGTGGCCGGACCTGAGAGAAATCCATATTTCATTACTTGTCATCCATCTCTGTCTCTCCTGTCTGTATGTGCGCATTTGTGTGTGTGTGTGTGTGTGTGTGTTGGGTATCTGCAGGGTTATGTGCACAATGTCTCCATTCAAATGTGCCCATGAGCACAATTCTGAATCCGTCTGTCACTTTGCCCCTTCTTCCCAGCGTGTATCGTGCTCCCCGTAGCGCACAGAGTCTACCCAACAGTCAGTGATGCATAAAATAATACTCACATAAACTACATTGACGTAGTCGTCATCAGACAGAGTCTCCAGCATCTCGCTGACGGAGGTCCTGATCAGCTTGAGAGTCAAGCCAGACACACTCCCGCTTCTGCGACAACAACAAAGTACCCGACAGCTTCTCGCTGCAATTTGTCGGCTCAATTTTTTCTTACTCGATGTATAATTACAAGTGCTTCCGCCTTGGGAAATGCATTACAATATGTGGAAATTATAGGAGGGCATGTGATGCAATCTGGGGAAATCATGACTGATGTGAGGAGGTTACAGATCAATGAGGCTATAAAGTAACTCACGCGTCCACGAGGATTAGCATATCTTTAGGTGAGGCGGCTCCTTGAATGTACCTAGTAGGAAAATAATGAATGAAAGGAAATTTGGTCTGTGACACGTACACACTCTCTGAGCAGGTCAAGTATGTTTAAAGCCAAGGTAAAACAATCCTAATAATATATATTTTATGACACAATATTACCTACACATTACACTATTCGTCCACATGTACGTATTTAAGGTTGGGGAATATTGCTGATCCTGATATGGATACACATATATTACATACAAAACAGTCAAATCTACTCTGTACAGTTTACAGAATTAAATTTACAATCAATGAAGAGTTTTTCGAGTCCTAAATGTGAGTTGTAAGCCTACACAACATGATTAAACTTTTCATATTTACCGTTTTACCATTGACTTGAAACCTGCCATTCAATTAAGGTCAAACAGTTGTCTCACCATGGCCTCCTGCGGACATCATACAGGTCAATTTTACTCAGGGTCTTGCGAGAATCCATCCAGGGAGAAGCTGTCAGAGGAGATACGATTTGTGTTTTCAGGTTATTATATCCAAAAGGAAATAAAAGGGAATAACATCTGACACCTCTGAATGAAGTGTCGATCTGCAAATATCTGACAACATGCAGTGACGTATTTGATTCAGCAGTCAAGTCAAAAAAAGGTGCGTGTGACACACCCAATTGGAATAATAGGATATATCTAATAAACATAAACCTTTTCCATAAAGCTATAGTGTCAATGACGACAGTAAATCTCATGAGTATAAATAGCTCGGCGCGGACAACACTCAACACCCAGTAGCGAGACGCACTAGAATAACAGCGTTAAAAATAGAATGACACAATATACAACACAGATAAAATCAGTGCAAGTTGAACCAAGATTATTTATTGAGGTTTTTTTTGCTCAGTGCTGTGAGAACAAGCAAACTTCAGGTCAATCAAATAATAATATTCGGCTGATGAGTGCACCTCTGATTTGAAATGCACGAATAATTTAGGAGGCTACATAATCCTCCTGAGTTGTCATGCGCGGAAAGGTTTTTTTTGGTGGTTTGGTTACCTGGATAGTAGCGAGCCAGCCCTGTAGCGCTGCCATACACCTGCCAGAGGAGAGTCGGGTCATCCTTTCTGTTCTTTCTAAACACTTCCTCTAATGCCTCCGACCACTCCAGTTCATTCAGCACAATGGTGGCTAAAATAAAAACACAAATGCACATCAAACAACCTGTGCTGAAAAGACAGATATACAGAACAATGCAGCGCAGAAGTGTTGTGCATGTGTATTCTGTAATAATGAGCAATAAACATATGAGCAGGCCATTGTAGACTCTCCAAGACATGCGTACATCCCGGTTTAACAAATGCATTAAGATTGACGCACACAAGTCTGCTCAGTCTGCCCGCTCGCCAAGCGGGACGCATGAGCAAATATGAGGCCGGCCCACCCAGCCGTGCTGGGATTTGGTAACAGATAGGGGGTTTTTGGCTTGTAATGGGGCCAGCAGTGAACTTTGCTTAATTTGACCTGAAACAAATCGATAACCTGTGTGTGTTTGTATGTGTTTGTTTGGAGGTGCATGTGATTGATAGCATGTGCTCTGAGAGGCAACCCACATTATGGATGCAATGAGACAGCATCCAGGCGGCTCACAGCCATATAACACTTACTATGATGGATGGAGACACACGCTGCCCCAACTATCAGTCATTCAGCACTGTATATATATATATATATATATATATATATATATAGTCAGTCAGTCAGTCAGTCAGTCCAGCACTATATAAATATATATATAGGATTTTGTGTGATTCTGTACATGCGTATGTGCGTTGCATGTGTGGAAAAGATTGGTATTCTGTATTGAGTGTGACGTGGCTCATTGATGTGCAAAGCAAACACTTCATTTGCATGCTATCCTCTAGAGGGGTGAGTTAATGAATCTGTGGTTGCCAGGACTGCATGTTTTTTATTGTAAAGGAGAGAGAGAGAGAGAAATGGTAGAAAATAACATGGAAGCAAAATCACTGTATAGTAAGATATACACAGAATATATTTACACACGCACACATTGTCTACGCAAACAAACAAAAAAACTGTGCTAAACGAGCAGACCAAAATCACATCTAAACCAGTGGTAATATTTTCTTTACTTGGTTTTGAAAACGTCTGACTTAATTTAATGAGCTGAAATCCAGTATTGCTTCATAAGGGATACAGTGTCCTCCGCTCAGCCATATTGCCACTGATACTAATGAATTCCCAGGCTGCACCCGGCACGGCTTTGATGCCAGACTGAATCTGCATCCTACGATGACTTCATCTCAGTCGGATACTAAGGAAACCCCCCCGTGATGTGGTGATGGTTTTCATCCAGTGGACACTGTAGATCCACATTGTAGGTGGTAGCAGTATTAGAAGGTAGGACAGGGCCAGAGGCAACAGGCCATTCATAGAACCATATCATTTATTTAAAAATGGGAGCTACTCATGACGGCAATACTGACACACTTTTATTTTCTGGAAGAGAATAAACCACGGCGGTTTTTGACCTCTGCGTCACCTGGAGAGAACGTCTGCTTCCTATTGTACCCTCATCTCACATGACATGCTGCTGCCGATGGAAACTGATTTCATAAACTTGCTTCCCAATTTGCCCAGAAAATCCAATTTTCTCCAGTTGAGCAAAGGCTATTCCTGGAACATTTATAGGGTGGAGATCAAATTGGAGATTTGGAACTCCGAAAACGTATAAATCTTGTGTTTCTTTTTTCTCAAGGCATACAAGACATATACTTCTGCATGTATGCCCAAGACTGACACAATATACCAGTAAAAATACACACAAGTGGGACTATTCTTTGAATAAACAAGGGCCAATCTTATACCGTGAGCTCATACTATCTCTAGCCTAATCCTGTTTTTTCAAAGATTGATTCCGTATGTATCCTAACCGTTTAGGCTGCGGCGATAAGTCTGCATCATCGATTACAGACGTTTTCATTTGGATTGACAATCTCTTCCATCGTCGCCCCGTACATCATGTTCGAACACATCAAGTTAATCTCTGTCACCGGAGCTATTTTGACTTTTAGGAGAGATCAGAAAGAAAATTGTTTTAGAAAAATCAATGCATTTGTCGTTGGGTTTAATCAACTGATCAAGAAAATAAATATGGAAATGGTTAATGAAAAATAAACATCAGGGGCAGCCGCGCTGCCATCTTTGAGTCCTGCGCCTGCGACACAACTTGTTTCTTTCATCTCGCTGAGATCAGATTTCCCCCCCCCCCGTGAACAGGTCCAAGCAGCTCAGCGTATCTATGCATACTCATTGCAGGCTACAAATAGACCTATCATGAAGCACAGCCCCAGTCAGGGACCGAGAGGTGTCCCTGGAGCATGGCGCCGAATGCTTTACGCGATAAGAACACAACCAACGTGCTCAACGTGTCGAAATGAAAGAAGAAAAAAAAAAAAAGAAGAAATGAAAGATTATTCAAATATAATACATAATTCACGTCACGGTTAAGATATTCAACAGACCATTGTTAAGTCGTTTGAGTTGAACTTGAGCTGTGCTAATGTCACAGGGACACTAGAGAATCAGATTCCTCTGAATCACTCAGGGTAAATGTCACCACATAATGATGAAAGTATCAGGAATATATGGGGGGGGGGTTTTGGTTCGGGATAAACCCACTGTAATAGATGCACATATGTTTCATTAAAACTAAAACCGCTTTACATGCAGGCATGAACAATACTGTTAAAGTACAACTCGCAAGATGAACATGGCCATCAAACATTTATTGTAACAGTTAATTTCACGGTTTTATCTATCTACTGTTTCATCTCTTAGCCTACCTCGGCTTGCTTTGTTGGGCCTCTGTTGAGCTGTCTGATGTTTTATTGCTTTTCTTTAGCTGCGCTGTCTGTCAAAGCACTTTGTAAACTAGGCAGCGTAAACTTGTGTTATGAAAGAAGCACAATTCCTCACGGTTTGCGTTGCATCATGGATCACTGTCACAGACGGATCAGTACAAAATAAAAAAGGATCCAACAGGACTTCTACCGATCCCTCATGACGTTTTTTTGACATTAGCTGATGATCGTTGATGATCCATTTAGACCGATACAGATCCATTTGTTGTGTGATTAAACAGTGTGCAAGACCATTCTTTTTTTTTGATGCTATCATCAAAAAAATAATTTCAACTGCTCTGAAGTCAGTGTTAACCATCAAAATCCATGTCATTAGTATCGCTAATAAAGTATTATAAGATGCTTAGTCGGAATGTTAACAGCTCTAATAACTATTTATATTGTCATGATAACATCCCCTTCAAACGAGGGGATTTATTCAAGTTTCTCCCCAACGCTACATTTTATGAGTTACATGGGAACACATCATTATAACGTTATTATTTACTTTCTTTCTTATATTTGCTGAAAAGAGGCTGAATGTGTCACAATGTAATGACATCGATTTGTTTTGTGTTAGCGCCGCCGCCACGGTTACCAGCTCTTTAAACAGTTTGATTATCTACAATGTAACATTATATATTATATTGCATTATGCTTCAATACATTTGAAGCCTTGGAACATCCAAACATTATTTTTCAAAACATTGATGGCTTTACTCAAAAGACAAAGGCACCAATTCATTTCATTTGGAGGACCCTCTATTCATTCACATTCCAAGGACAGGCTTCGATTAGAGGAGAATATCATATAACGGTGCATCACTATTATTTAACCATGGGCAAATTTGCCAGAGGCTCTATCTGTAAACATGTCATAATAGGTTGGTGTGTCACTTGTATCCATGGAAACCATTGGTTTTGTATGCATGTATGTGTGTGTGTGTGTGTGTGTGTACTCACAGCCATCATAGATGTCAGTGGGGATGTGGACAGCCGTATGGTTGTAGTCAGTCAGACGTTTAAAGGATGGGTCCTCTTTAAAGTCTGGCCGGATCCTATATTTTCTTCCCTCTGTCTCATTTGCATCCAGCTGAGGAAAACAAAACCATCAAGATGCAGACAGTAAAGCTTAAGAAACCACAAGAAGCCCTTTTTATTTCACGCAAAAAAAGGCCCTGATTTTATTTAAAAGCAACTCATGTCTCATGTGAGAATGTCATTGCCGCACTTTTTACACCCTCCCAGCTCGTTTAAGAATAAATCGCATCATCGACTGTCTTCCTCATATCTTTTTTCCTCGCGTTCTTATTATCTTTACTTCGTAGGAGTAACGGGCGACAGCAAGATTGTCCATGCGCCTTGATTTACAACTCCCAGCGTGAAATCACCAATTTACATCGATGAGAGCGATGCAGACGGGGAGCTAGGAGACGAGAAGCATGATGAGATATGGAGAAAAAAGAATGCCAGGGTATATAGAGGGTGTGAGGTGGGGTGGGGGGAGGGGGGGGGGGGGTGATTGAAAAGATGGGGGGGAGAAAAAGCTTGGAGAGAAGGCAAAATAGGGAGGGGTTTTACACTAAAAGGCTGAGGCGATGATAGAAAGCGAGAATAAGAACATGGGGTACCTTTTGTGTTGAATAGAAGGAGAAGAAGAATGGAGGAGAGGAGGGAACATGAGGAGGGCGGACGGGAGGAGAAGGGAGGGTGATGTGTTGCAACGGCACATTACCGGCCCGTGTCCGAGTGTGACCTGTGTGTTTGCAGGGGCTAATATGGAAGAAGAGCAAATAAAAAGCACTCACATTGTCCTTTGCGTTGTAGTAGGAGATTTCATCACCCTTGCAAACAAGGAACAACAAACCTCGTCACTTTAGTGGCTGCTTCACAAACAAGTCCAACATTTACGCGGTGGAGAAATGCTTAATCTTCTTCTAAACAGCTATGTGACAACATTGATATGTTCTCCTAGTTTGCACTACTGATACTGTAAGCTCCACACCTCTGTCAAGTTTGTACATCTGTAACTGTGTCCTTAAAGCCATTTCCATGCTCCAATACGGCAATCCACAGCTTAGAGAGCATCTTTTTTTCTTTACTTTACTCTGCGCTCTAATTGCGTGCCGCTGCAGTTTTTAGAAATCAGTGTCTGTCATCTAAAAAATGAGGGGCATAATGAGTCATAACAGAGAATATAATATGCAATAAACCAATTTACGTGATGGAGATAGAATCACTGCAAATGACACAGAGACAAAAACAGATTAAATCTATTGAGACAAAAAGTTAGAGCTTGTAAATTCAGATCGAGGTCAGAGCCGTTGATGCTTCACCTCGTTAATGTGTCACCTCGTTTTACACTAATGTAGTATGTAAAACACATACATAAAGTATACATATACTTGTGCTAGCAGTATTCCTATAAGTGTGGGATCTGTATTGTTGTGTCCTGTTACCTCAAAGTCGTCTTTCCACATATGCTCCATCTGAAGCTTCTCGGCAGCTGTGGCCAGTTTCTTCGGAGTAAAACAAAACAGGGATTTAGATTGCAAACGGAACGAGGTACGCCTCCTTCAGAGTCTCAGAGCAAAAGAGAGCGTGTTAAAAAACCCACGACGGAGACCTTCCCTGAGACGGAGACGTGATTATGATCTCATTTTAGGAGCTCAAACCGCAGAGCTGTCACAGTCTTACTGCTGAAGGCCACAGAGCACTGTAGTACTGGCAGAATGAGACCAGTGTGTTTGTTGGTGTATGTGTGAGTGAAAAAGTGTGTAAGCCGGAAAAATGATATGAAAAAAAAGTGTCAGTAGCATAAGAAACAGCAGATCCCTGAATAAAGTCGAGTGCAAATTGAATGCCACCTGTCAATCAAAATGAATACTGCTGAATAACAGGTGGATATAATTGTTATTAACATGACCGGTGCTCTAGTCCTCTAACATGCAACGTGCAACATGCACACACACCCGCACTTTTAGACGTAATAGAGAAGTATAATAGTGGACTAGTTCATTTATCATACTAGAACGTGTTCGTCACAGTACAAGCAATAAAACAGCACATATTCATCACTTTGGGAACAAATGAGTGGCTTAAGTGCTCTGTCGAGATCTAGGGGAGTGCTCATTCAGAAATGAAAAAATACCGGTTTGGTGTGTGCACTTATTATTGTGGGAGGATACCGTGATGTTGAGACATATTTCAACATTGCTTTCCAATTGCATAATACAGCCGATGGTTTACCTGGCTTGCTTTGTGATCGTTCCCCTGTTTTTCAACATAATTATAGAGAAAATGAGGGAATAACTGAGAGCAACATCAACCAGAAAACAAAAACACAGAAATGGGGGAGACAGCGATCTGATTTCTACATTTTACAGTTAATTTGTGATGTAATTCAAGTGCTTTTTTAAAGAGTTTTGAACTGTCAAGAGTGCTGGATAAGATTTCTTAAAAAAAGACAGGAAACCGTGAAACGTTCATCAGCGATGATGTCAAATTGGGCAAGTGCCTTGAAGTTCAGCCAAGAACACTCTCGTCATACATTTTATTTATTTACATAATTAAATGCAAAGATAGCGCTTATCACTGAAGTCCTTAAAACACAAACAAAGTGTGGTAGACTGAATTCGATTTATTCACTGCCGTGTATATTGGGATAATAGCACCGCCCCCCGAAAGATAGCATAGTCCGACTAAGCAAAGATTCCAATTATACCATCATGTAAACACACTGAGTAAGATCCAAAGGCAGACAGTGAAAAAAAGATGGACAAGCATATTAGTCGTGATCCTTCCCCAGCGGTACAAAGTACTGTAATGACAACCCTGTGAAGTTCACCTACTGCCAAGGTGGGAGAAGGTCAAACCAGGTTGTTTGTAATGTGTTTCATGATAACACTCATGAAGGCCACAAGCCAAAATGGTTTTGACTTACAATGCAGTTGTTCTATAAGTGTTACCTCATTAAACACGTGAAGGAAAGCATTGGCCTTAAAAGAAACTCCCCAGTATTACACATCGACTTTATTCATAACATTGAAGTTAACATGACCTGACGGACACCCTGACCCTCCTCTCGGGGATTGATTGCATCAAACTTTAGTCATATTTCAATCTCCATCTGTTGGACTTTGCAAGTAAGAAAGTTTAACAAAGGTCATGTTAGATCTGTGCGTGAGTAAAGACTGGATTAGATCCGAAAGTCTGTCTGCTGTCACCAATGATTCTATTCTTTGGCTTCCAGTCCTGGGCTCCGGTCCAGACCTCCATCTACTCTGTACTAGCTGTCAGCAGCTAAATATACCTCCCATTTCAGCCATACAAACACAATGACGACGAAGTTAAACGCACCATGTTCGCTATGTGCAAAAATAGCTGTTTAATTACACAATTTGACAATTACACCTGCTTTCAACACACATTAATAATGTTCAGACTACTTTAGCGACTCAGTCTATGGATCTAGAGCTCTAATAAAGTATAAATATTTAATACATTTTGAGTTTACAAGTAGAGTATTCAAAAACATGTCAAAGTTGAAGCCAAATCGCATAAAAAGAGATGTTGTATGCATAAAACCCTATTTTCAAATAGTCAGGCTACCGTCAGTAACAACACATTTTCTATTCATCAAAACCCAATTTCATTTTTCTGCTGCTGACTTTTGCATCAATGCTTTTCTGAGTGTGCCGAGGCTGTAACTATTCATTTAAGGTGACACCTACAGTGCAAACACATTCAAAGTGGCAATATTCAAAACAAAAAATCTAATTAATATGTATATTGTCATTCAGGTGTTTCATGAGAAAAGGAAAGATTTGATTTAAGACTATAATAAAGCAAACGCGGCGGTTCATACACATGCTGAAAAGGTCATGTGCAGAGGTCCTTGTCATTAATGTCAGCTAATGTCATTGTGACATCACACCATGTTAATGTCACTCCACTGAGATGTATCACTCCGCTCAACTCTAGACATCGCAACACGTTTAGTTTGCTAAGTGCACGTGTGTGATTTGACTGAAAATGTATGCAGAAATACACGTACAGAGTGCGTGAAAAGATGGATATTGCAACGTGATCTCCAAAACCTGTTCGTAAAAATGTATACAAAAATCTTGAACAATTCGTAACAATACATACGAACTGGCGGTGGTTAACCACGCCCCTTGAGTGAACAACATGGCGGACCATGTTGGATTCTTGAGTGAACGTCTCTCCACCATGTTGGATTTTTTGAGGGGGTTAGGGTTAGTATTCTATTCTTACAATTTAACATTGATTTCTCGTGAAAAATGCAAGCATAACACGTTTATTTTACATCGTTAGACTTCAGGAAGTGTGTTTACGGGGTGCAGGCCCCCTTTCACTTTGAATAGGGTGACGTCATCAGTTTCAGTCTGTATTTATTTAGTATGTATCACTACGAATTTGTATTGTTCAAGATTTTCGTATACATTTTTACGAACAGGTTTTGGAGATCAGGCTGGGATATTGATCACAGTTGTTCTTCTCCCTCCCACACGTATTGTAAATTAACATGCACATGCAAATAAACGCACACACACTTAGACATACACACTTCTAAGACAGCAGACCGACAGGGTTGTTAAAAAATTAATGACGGGGGGCTTTGACGAGGCTCCTCTTCCCTCTGGGAGACATGGCGGAGCGTGTGCAGTGGGGGTTTGGGGGAAACCAAGAAACTAATTAGCCTCCTCTTTCTTTCTATGCATCCCTTTCTGTCTCTGTGTGTCAAACATGTACACAGGGAGAGGTTACCCACCAATCACATCTACAGAACCGTGACTTGGTGAGACCGCTCCCTGAGTGGCACCTAGCCTCTCTGAACGGTTCATTACAGAGACACTGTGAGCTGTCGTCTGCCAACTGAAATTCTCATTTGAAACACACATTTATTACTAAAAAACATTTAGTTAAAAGCAAAACGCTTAAACGCTGCCAGTAGCGTGATCTTGCAGCTCATTAGTCTCCCTCGCACATGTTGTGACATAGATATCGCAGCTCCACACTGTAATGAGTCCGTTCTGTCACTGGATGACCACCGCAGGCCCGAGGAGAGCCCCCGCTCCCCTGCAGATGTAATGGGAGGGGGGGAGGGGGGGGGGGGGGTGTGAGGGAATGTGGATTGGCTCTATGGGCACAGGGCAGTGAATTGGTGTCAGGATCGAGGTGCTTCAGTGAGAAAAAGGAGCAAACAGCAAAAAGAACTAAATGGGAATCATGTAATCTAAAACGGGGCAAAGGCCGGTACTTATTGGTTACATGTTATTCCCACTTGGACATTAGAAGTGTCCAATGCCGCAACTTCTGGAAGGATCCTAACAGCCAAATAGGGCAAATGATGTGATCATGTATCTTCATGACGTCATACCACCACAGCTGTAGAGAGCAATGTCAGAGGAGGCCTGTGTGGTTGGTGCTTATTGACTGTTCTCACCCGGCTTAGTTGTCATTCTGCCAGGGCGGCCCGGCAGCCCACCATGCATTTAGTGAGAAAGCAGAGCACAGCTTAAAGGATGGACGAGGAAGATGAGACAAAGCTCTGCTAAACCTCACCGGGCCTCCCAGACACAGACAGCGCGTGTGTGTGTGTGTGTGTGTGTGAGCGATGCAGAGCACACTGCTTTCTCGCCCCGAAAACACAGCAATACACACACGAGTAGTAGCGGTGTAAAAGATCATTATCACCCACATCCAATCTCGTGTCTGCATTCATGAATGCTGGTTACCGTAAGGTAAGCGAGGACGAGTGAGTAAAACACTGTGGGAGGTGTAAAGGGTGAGTATGAGAAGCAGAAAAAAAAGAGTAGCAAGAATATGGATGAGTAAAATATCAAAGTTATGAGTAGATTATTGAAACTCACTCGGATTGATCTCAGTGTTTGTTCTTGTCGTTAGAATTTAGCTCATGCGAATGAACGGTGGGATAATAAAGAGACATGTACACAAGGACAGTTTTTTTGGGGGGGGCTGACGGGGAAAGTGGGAGATGATTAAAGAAAAGATGTGAGATCGGCAGACAGAACATCAAGAGGGAACAGAAGGGACTTCAGAATGTGGGTAAGAGGGTACGGTAACGAGGACAAAGGGAGAGATGGAAGACGTAGGTGAGAGGAGTGAGCACGGTACAAGACAACCAGAGGTCAGTAGAGATGAGAAGAGGTTGGTTTTCTATTGTAGTTTGGCAGAGAAAATAGACAAAAGTCAAAGGAGCTGAGCGCAGGATAGACTGGAAAAAGAGGAAAAAGAAAAGAGGAATCTGCAGCTCACGAAGCCCCCGAGAGATCCGCGCTGCTCCACATGACTTCTCTCAGAGGCCAAACCCTCTGATGGCAGCAGCAGCTCCGCAGGCTCTTTTGCTCTGATCTCAAAGAAGTGTGTATATCTACTGTCCACTTCACAGAATGTATATTCTGTTCGTTCGGTTAACCCCTCGTGCGGTGATCATGTTTTTGTTATTCAGCCAGTGTTCGTGGGTCTGGTGGAC